GAGAAACACAAAGGTAATAGTGAATTGGGAACACGGCGGAATGTATAATCTGCATCCCTTAGGTGGATAAGCGTCAAGGCGAAGATTAATGGTGAATAGTACTCAGTATATAGTTCAAAGATCGAAAGCATTTCCCCTTTGGAATATGCCGCAGGCCGTATTCAGCTTCGCCGCCACCCAGCATCGTGGGCCACGGACCGTTTATTTCGACCCACCACGTACACGTAAATATGGCTCTGTTACCCCGCAAGCTCTGCTTATGTCCGTGATCCATTTTCTTAACTCAATCTAAAGCTTGCATCTTTTTCCAAGCCTAGTTCAATACTCCTGCGAGGTGGACCAACAGGCATCGTCCGTCGGTTGAGAAGCCTTCGCCCGTTGCCCATCATGTCGGTCGACGTGCTGTCGTTGGCTTGCAATATCATGGCCGTGATCGACTCGGGTCAAAAGTTCTACCAGACCTTTCGCGACATCTACGAAAACGGAAAGCCAGACGCGTCCGCAGAGTCGAAAGCAAGTGAACTCCTCCATTTGACTGATAGGCTTGCGGCGTCGGAGAAAAAGGCCCTCCAGTCAAATGCGGTCCCGGAAGATGGTCAACTATCCCAGGTCGCCAAACAATGTGCCGAAGTTGCCACAAAGCTCCATGACGAAATAGAGAAGCTCGCTCCCTCCGAATCGTCCTCTCGGGTTGGAAAATTCTTTCGTTCTCTCAAGGCCGCAGCGAAACGCAATTGGCGACACAGCCGCATTGAACAACTGAACGAATCGCTTGAGGACTGCCAAGATATAATGCAAACCACTATCCTTGTTGAGATGTACATGTCCGGCGAAGCGGAAAGGGTGACGCAGCTGGGGCATTTCGCGAGACTCGAAACTATGGTGCAAAATTTTGCCCTTGCTGTTTCGAAGCACGAACTACAAATGTCCCAGCTTTTGGACAGTCGGTCGCTTCACCAAGAAACACAGGCAGTGGTCCATGACGAAGTGACAGCTCTAAGAGAAGCGCAGCTCTTGGATGCAGACTTGGCGCGACTGAAAGCCAGTCTCAAATTTCCTGGACTCAATCAGCGATTCAACGGCGTCGCCAAGGGCCATGAGAAATCATTTCAATGGCTCATGGGTAATGCCATGGAAACAGTCACACACAACACCGAGCACGACGAGGCCAAAGACGGCAGCGCACAAGAGCCCAGATACATTCGAGAGTCACGCAATGAGACGTTTAACGATTTCAGACAGTGGCTGATATCGGAACCGAGCTCCAAGTTGTATTGGATCAGTGGAAAGCCAGGCGCCGGTAAGAGCACGTTGATGAAGTCTCTTTTCGAGCAGATGCAAGACATCAAGCAGGGTAGTGACGAGAATGCAACAGAGGAGTCACGCCTGGTGATTCATCATTTCTTCTGGCTCGGGGCATCCAATAGGCGTTCGCGGCAGAACGATATGGAAGGCATGTATATGTCGCTTCTACGCCAGCTCTTGGACTATGAAGTACAAGATGGGGTATCTCTTGCCACTATGCTTTTGCAATCAGCCCCTCACCTACGCCAAATGGATTCCGATGCCGACTGGAGTTTCGAGGACTTGAAAGGAACCACGCTGATGGCTTTGAATACTCTCGGCAACCGATACTCGATCTATATTCTGCTAGACGCACTGGATGAGCACCTTCCAATACCGCAACATGATCAGTTGTTGGCAGCCATTGGAGAGCTTGAGAAGATAACTAATGTTCGACTTGTAGTGACAAGTCGGAGGGAGCGAATCTTTGAGCAGCATCTGGCTTATTCCAGGCAGCTACGACTTCATACGTTAACGGCACCAGATATTCATCATTTTGCCTTAGATTCCTTGCGAGAGCATGTGCACCGGGCTTTTCAAGAATCTCAAGATGATTCTGCAATCAAGTTTCTGAACCAAACTGTCGAAACGATTGTCTGAAAAGCTGAAGGTGTCTTTCTCTGGGCTCGCCTAGCTGTGGAAAGCGTCAAAAGTGGTTTAATCGACGACAATACCCCAAGTGAACTGAGAGAACGTCTCGAAGATATGCCTACAGAGCTGTCTGAATATTTCAAATCTATCTGGAAACGGTTGGGGGACGATGGAAAGAGATACAAAACCAAGGCTGCCAATATCTTCTTGCTCCTTTTGTCCTACGGGGCGTTTGAAGATCATTTCTTGGTCAATGGAGGTCTCGATTGCCTGTCTTTAAGCCTGGCTTTAACACCGGACACTGCTCATACGCTCATAATTGGGGTGGACAATATTCGGCTAGCATCTCTCCTTGAGATGTCTCAACGTGCCGAAAAAATGGTCTTATCGCATTGCGCTGGGCTAGTTGAGCTGCTGGATTTGGTCGAGGGACCATTTGAAGACTGTGTTTACTCCAGGGCCCAAGTGACGAGTGCTACAAGGGAATGTCGATCCATACACAGAACGGCAAGAGACTTCTTCGCCGATACACCAGAAGGAAAAGATCTCCTTGACTCTAACAACATTGGTGTCGATGGTCCCGACTTCCACCTGGTGCAGGCCTTTTTAGCCCGTTCAGTCGCCTTCAGGAAATCAGAACATACCGGCTTTCCATCCATGGCTCTAAGAAGTATAGACATCATCGACTTCTTCCGACTACTCGGATCATCGCGTTTTACCATCCAGCAGCGATATTTCCTAATTGATCTGTGTCACAAAGTCTTCTATCGGTTCTCGGGTCACCCAGGCAACCCTTTTTTTGAAGGATGGACAGTTGTCGAGTCTTTCCATCACATTCGACCTTTTATTAGTGAAGCAGCATGTTGGGGCCATAGCGACTATGCAGCTCAGTTGATGAAAGACCAAGCCATCGGCGGACGTATCTTCTCTCCCGAGGCCTGCGACATGGTCTTGAAAGAGAGTTTGATGGGGGGTATTTCCTATCGCGCTAATACGAACTCGCTCTCGTTCGCGAGCCTACTCACTTTTGATTCAATGTTTGGGTCTGCTGATAAGCTCAATATTCGTCTCCCACTTGCTTGTTTTGGACGACACAAAGGTTATGCCGCCGAAGTCGCCAGCTCTCGTAATATATATTCGACTTCGCAAATGATCTTGGGAGTCGTGTTGGTCGCGTACCATCGTGGTTGGACTATGGACCGACATGGAGGCGAAAATATTCTCTATCTCCTAAAATCCCTAGCTACCCCGGATGAGCGTCTTCTTGAGAACATTTTATGCATATGCTCACTGAGTTATGTGACTCCCGAGTTCGCAGTAGTGAAGTTTCACTTTCCTTTCATGATAATGCCGGGTACCAAAGGGGCGTCGGGTTGGGGTGGCGATCAGCAGGAGGGAGTTCATTTGGTGTTCGAAACTAGCCCACTCTGGTTGATACAGTATCTGAACAAAAAGAACGTTTGGCGTGACACGAGGGAATCCGTCATTTTCTCGCACGGTCTGAAAGAGTTTGTCCGCTTGCACGACCAAAGCGGTCGAAGATTGCAAAAGCCACGACCTATTCTACTGTTCGAATACACTGACAGCATGACATTGATGGGGTCAGAGCACACAATGATCCCCATGCCAACAGAACTGAAAAGAGTACCACCTGAAGCGGGTCGTGATTTGAGCGAGATACTGGGCATGCTCTACGATGACGACCAGGAAGACGTCAGCTACGCCTTGTGGGATCGGGCGTGGGGAGTGTGGACAGATCCCTCAACAGAGCGAATAGGGACGGAGAGGGTTGAAGAAATTCTTGAAGATCATGGAATTCTGTGCTCAGAAGAAGAGAAGAGAAGGCTTTTGGCGATGTGTAACATCCAGGCGTGGCGCGAAGGCGCAGATAGCCCCGAGGAAACACAAGGCCGATTTGTGGTTCCTCCAAAAGGGGCTTCTAAAGAGCAAGAGGCGTTGAGCCATCTTACAATGCGATTCGTCCGATAGAGCAATGTGATGACTCTCGTCGGGGTTCACGTCACGGCGGGGCTAGGACAAAGTACTCCAGATACCTGGACGCTGGGGACTACCCACTAGGGGCGAATCCCTCCAACTTGTGCTCGAAACCTCATCTTGCTCTAGGTGACAGCTTCCCTTGAGGTCACCTCGACCCCAAGGCCGGCGATCACCTCGAAGCCACGTTGAGCATCTTGCATAGCACAGAGTATGGCGCGCATACACATTACTTTGGTGCGCACAGAGTCAATAAACTTCTAATAATGGTGCCACATCTTTCACAATAGTGACTACCGCGCTAGACGGTGGGGCATTGGGGGTAGCCTCGGGGTGCGAAGGTATCAGCTACCTAGGCCTGATAACCCGCCGGAGAGCATCACCGAAGCCGTGCCCGCGGCCTTAGTGGCCTGAGGTCTTTGAGCTTGGAAATGAGAACCTCTCTCGGAATGACATCTCGACCCGGCCACGCGCTCTTACCTAGTGAGATGAAAGCCCGCAACCTATATACGCCTGTTTAGTCTGCTGCATCGAAGCCTACGAACCCGAACGCCGGGACATACATCCAGCATTCGGCACATCGCCTAATGGTGTCTGGTAGATTGGATGGCCTTAGAAGGGATTGCTTGCCATGGTGAAGATGTGCGACGAGCGGAGATGCTCCGTTATCTCGGATTTTCGGACTTAGAGTAGAGTTGCATTCGATCTACTGCCCAAGTGGTGACGAAGGCGAAATTATGCAGCAAGGGTCCGCGGCGCGGTATCTCTCATTTAATGAGTATCTCGGTCAATGTTTACAAGCCCATTTAGTCACTCGTTTGCTGACAAGAAAAGCCATTGCTACCTCTTCAGCAGGCTGTCTCTTTTTCTTTTTCGCCTTGAATTCGACGGGAAAAGCGACCCATTCATCTGCAACATGAAAATCTGGACCCTTCACATGGCGGTAGCCGTCGCATGCGGCCAGGCTCTTGACACGATCCAATATGGTGCATTGTAAGGCTCTCTGAACGTATGACCCAGACACCCACTTATCTTTATGTAGTCTGCAGACCGCTACCTACTCGGTCGCCAACCAATTGGGATATTTTGTGGCCAACGGACTCAATGTGGTCTACAACCAGGTCCCGAATAGCACCGCAGCATTCCAGTCAATTCTCAGTGGGCAATACGATATCCTTACGGCAACGGTTGACAATGCCCTCAACTATCGCTTTAACCAAGCACAGAATGTGACGGTGCTCGGTCAACTCGATCAGGGTCCGGATCTCGTTCTAGCGTCAGTCCCGAACATTACCGACATCAGTCAGTTGAAGGGCAAACCTATCATCGTGGATTCGCCGTCCAGCGGCTATGCATATCTGCTTCAAAACTCACTCGCGGCCAATGGTTTGTTTCTGAACGCCAGTGACTACTATTTCATGGTACGTCGACTCCACGAGGTCATGAGATACTGAGTCTAACTTTTGTGCTCAGACTGTGGGTGGCACGGCAGCCAGATACTCGGCGCTTGTCAACGGAGTGCTTCCCAACGGAACAGTCGTCTATGCAACAATCCTCACCTATCCATTCACGGTCGAGGGGGAAGCTTTGCCCCAGGGGAGTGCTCCTAACATTCTGGCCCGAATCTCGGATACTGTCGCTCCCATTACCTCAAGCGCATTCACTGTCGGCGAGGCCAACATTGAGGACCCGAGTGAGTCTTCATTAGTGGTACGCTTCTTAGCGGCCATGTATGGAGCAAATCAGTTTCTCCAGAACTCTGCCAACTCGGCCTGCTCCATTGGCGCGATTGAAGCCCAGCTTGGCCTCTCCCAAGACGTCGCCACGACCGAGTACGCGTCCGTTGTCAACAGTCTGACCGGAGAGATATCGCCCGGTGGTAATTTTACCGTAAGTCAGGAGGGCATCATGAATGACTTTGCGATTAGGCAGAAATTTGGCGGATTTGCCAGTCTGCCCGCCAATTTTGATGTTGACGAGGCACTTGCACCTGGGCCCGGAAAACTCATTGACTACACACTGAGGGATGCCGCCGTCGCCCTTTTCCTCCAAAATCCTTACTACTCAAATTGTACATTGGGAGACAATTGAGAAATGAGCTTTGATAGGACCGCGACGGAATTGGCTTTCCACCACCGCTGTACTCCCACAGTTCAACAAAACATTCGCTACTCTGTCTCTTTTTAGTGAAGCAATTTGACAATCTGTATCATTATCAACCACAGGTTAAAATCTCGCAACTATATCAGCGGGGTGCAAAATGCAACCCATCAGCTGTGATTACCAAGAAATACGAACCCGAAAGGCTGGGTGGCGGTTTCTATCTTAAAAGCCACGCTATAACAAGGGCCCTATACGGAGCAGGGATGCGCTCCAGGATTTGCCAAATTACTCAACCTACGCACAGACACTGATCCACCGGACAAAATACATCGATTGTCTCTCGCAGCCAGTTCTCCCGGTAACCGAACTCACGATATCTATACAGCGCTTGACGGTGCTGTCGATCGTGGAAAGGCCAGCTACGTGCTTCACTTAGTGTTCCTCGGACGGTATGTTTTGTGCATGGGGTGCCTCGCGTTACGAATACGGTATGGAAAACCTCTTCCCCAGCACGCCCACACCACCCTTGAAAGTTCCTAGGATACATTGAAGACCTGAGTAGGTACTTACTGCGACAGCAGGGCATAGCCCGTTATGGCACGAATGTACCAACTCAAAGTGTACCGAGCAATTGGTCCGCAACAAGATAGACAGAGTCGCTCTGCTCTCCAAAAAGGATTATGTGCGCACGCGCGGAATAGGCATTGGGCAACCGTGTTTCCTAAGTGTTTACAAGGTTCTCCTTCTGTGCAGCGTCGTTTTCTACCCCATTTTGTACTTTATTCCATACCAATCCAGAAAGCTTCAAGGGTCGGGTTACCGGGAGCGTTGCGAGGTTCCATCGTGGATGTGCCCAATCGACTCAAGCTGGCGGAATTACGAGTGAAACCGACACAGCAGGGCACCTTCGAGTCTCATGATCCTGATTTGACCAAAGTGGGTGGTCGACTTCCCAATGGGCTGGAAACCACACCCTTTTCCTCTGCTTGGGACTCGTCGTTTGCGGAAAGGATGCCGAGATTTCTGATATAGGCAGCATGCAGCCACATTTTGTGCTCCCAGTCCTGGCAGACAGTTGTGAACTTGGTCATCCAATCTTGCAAAGACTGTCATCTCGTTAGCTCTTCGATACCATTCGTTCTGGGAAACCCTGAGACATGGAGGTCATACACGCTACCTCTTTGCTCGGGCGAGATGCCATTGACGATGGAGTGTTGAATCCTGTCGGCAACAGCTTGCGTGTCCGCTCAATCATATTCGTCTGTATCTCTTTCGCCTTTGTCCTACTGAGACTCTCGACGCGATACAACTATGGGAGGATGATCGGAGCAGACGATGCTTTCATCGTCGGAGCACTCGTACGGCAGTCCTTTTTCTTTTTTTTTTTTTCAACGCACAACACGACCGTTGGTTTGCATGAAGAGATTCTTAACCTGTTGTGGTACAGATCCTTTCTATTTGTATGACCGTGACATACAACGGAGGTATGTGCACAGTCTTGAGCGTCTCATCTGATTCCTTTTTGCTAAACAGTTGCTTATCTGCATGCACAGAGGCTCTAAATGGATTTGGGCTCCATACGAGCCAGGTGAGCAGCGAGCACAAGATCTTGGCGTTCAAGGTGGGTTTTGATGTTACCATATGGATTTATCTCAACTTAATTTGGGGGCTGATTCACATGCGTAGTGGTTCTTTGCGGCGCAAATCTTGTACAAGGCTGCGACTTGCTTGACGAAACTTTCAATCTGTTGCTTGTACCTACGAATCTTCCCCGACAAATGGTTCCGAAGAGGTGTCTGGTTGACAATGGGGATCACCGTCGCTTACACGATCGTATCGATATTCATAACAATTTTCTCTTGCCGTCCAATTGAGAAGGCCTGGGTCAAGTCGATGGCTGGTACTTGTCTAGATTCGCGGTCCATTTGGTATGGTAGGTACACCAGTCTGGCAAACAAGCCATCGCCCTAATATGAGCTACAGTGATAGACAAAGCTGATTCCACTCCACAGGAACTTCTATCATGGTCATTATGACTGATCTGATGATCATCATCCTTCCCATCAATCAAACTCGCCGACTCCAGCTCCCGCTCGCCCAGAAACTCATGCTGGTTGCCCTGTTCAGTCTTGGACTGTTTGTCGTTGCTTGCACAGTGGTCCGGATGGTATCGGTTTCGCCCCAAACTACAGCGACGGACCAGATTTGTTAGTCATGTAGACATTAATCTCATTTCGACGAAGCGCTCATACGATTCGCAGATTATCAGGCCATTAGCAACAGTTGGACTTTTGTCGAAACAAACGTTGGCATCATCTGCGCTTGTAGGTCCTGCCGTTTTATTCGAAGTCTGGAGTAATGAAGTTGACATAAGAATCAAGGTTTACCCGTGGTTCGAATTCCGATAACGCACTTGTTCCGTCATGTCGGCCAAACAACGAGAGGAACAACCAAAAACAGTGCTCATTCTCAGAGCGACTTTGCACTGCAGACTATTGGCCAAACTCCATCCCGCAGCCACGTATCAAAAGACCGGGAGAAGAACAGCAGCGTCGAAGAGCTGATTGAGGCGCAGAATTTCAAGAAGGAGAATAGATTGAAGATGTACCACGCGTCGACAAATTCAATCGCTCCTAGCAACGCTGAAAGCAGGTATAATTAAGATGAACTTCAACGTTCGACGTGAGCAGTTTCAGCCAACTTCCCCCACACACTGCCGAGCTATGCCCTTATTACCCAATATCTTGTGATCCTTTAAATCTTCGATATCGCCCCGGATCGAGCCTTCGGGTGTTCGGTTTCCCACTTTGCCTTGAGTGCAGCCGCCTGTTGCGACTGGATAGTGAATCCTTCGTACAGACGCGCCCAACCCCCGCCCAGGTTGTGGATGTTGATGGGACGGCCCGTAGTAGCGTTCATGTAGGTGAACGAACCCTTGACCTCAGCGACGATGGCTTGCTGGTTCAGTGAGAAGAGAATGGTCGTGCCATGGTTTCGTGTTGGCTCAATGAGGTCCTGACGATAGGCAACAATGAGCTGTCCTTATATTTAGTGGACAAAGTCATGATCAAACGGTAGATTCCAAAGAAGTCGGGACATACCGAAGCGGGATACTTGACCTGCCTGCGGATATCCAAGTCATATTTGCGGATCGCAGGAACAACGGATTTCGCATGAATCATGTCATCGTATTCTTGCTGGCTGAGGAACTCGTCGTAGCTTTCCATTACGCGATGGAAACATGTACCTAGAAAGTGCATGTACTGTGATTGCATGACATGGCCGAAGGGGTCTTGGTCTTCAGCCCAGAGGACACCTCGCTCCACCATGGTCTCGGGGTTGAATCCCAATGGCCTCGAGGGTCGACAAGGCGCTGGTTCGCAGAGTTGCGTAGGGGTCAGTGTTCCCCAGTGTTGGGATGCGGGCCTGGGGCGCCAGCATGTGAGTAAGGCGAGTTATACGCCGACTTTGCAAGTCGAGACTTGGTGGCAGTGGGTTTAATGTCCGGCATAGTCAGCACGGGATGTGATATCCGACTTTATAATAATACGAAGAATGAATAAGGCTGTAGTTTGATTTTGTTATTTATGATGCAGTATGATCTCAGGCATGACTTGGGTGGTCAACGAACGGGGGCTCGTGCTATCCATGCATGCTGGATATTGGTGCCTCACCTTGTGCATTATCTACTCCTTAATTGAGCACCCCCGGTCGCTGATAATTGAACCCTGCACATAAGCAAAGTGGAATTGTAGGCTTGAGGTCTCTGTATTTTCTATGTATCGTCAGTCGTTTTGGAGCTCGGCGCTTACGGATTACTTTTCGGAAACCAATAAGATTTCCTTACGCCTGAGGTCAATCGGGTTTGTCGAGGATAACGAATTAATTTAGTATGACCGTCCCAGCTTGCCAGAAACAGGCGTGGATAACCTGGCCGAGCGCAACTTTGCGGAAGTTATTGCAGATGTCGCTATCGTGTTTTCATTTGCCAGGAACATGCGCAAAAAGACCGTGACTTATCCATCACATAGCAATATTTAACATCTTCTTTACTGCTAGATTGTGCTCTCAGCTATAGCTTGTTATGATTATGAGGTCGGTTCAAACATTAGTAGAGCGGCCAATGGCCTCCGGCAAGCAGAGGGCTTGCCAATAATGTTCCCGCTTGAAGGCCAAATGCACGCATACCAATCCCAGTTGTCAAAGGTGTAGAGATACGCGCTCGTTCAATCCTGTTCGCGTCAAAAACCTCCGAGCGAGCGACCAAGAACATGTACAGATGTCAAAGGATGTTTGGTATCAATGCATCATGTGAGCTGCATTTATCCCATTTTCTCGACCTTTCTCTGTGTTCTATATCGAATCATTGTTTATTATAATATGATTATGTAAAAATCAATTCCCGTCCCATACGACCATAGATACTTGAAAACTTGGCATCCCGTTCGCTCTGCCCTAAATAAGCCAGTGATCGCTGGATCAGTACTCAGGTGGATGACCACTGAGGAATCCCCGGTGTTGTATGTTTTTATAATCTTTTTTTATTTGGATTGGTTTTATCATTTTAAACCCTTCGGTGCTCGAATCTTTTTAGTGTGACCGTCGCCGTAGGTGTCGCCGTGTAACGTTACGGTTAATAAAGGATTCAAGATGTAGTCGTACTCGTGCTACGCTTTTATGAAAACGCCTCCCAAGCTTATTAACTAATAGCTAATACATGTAATATTCGAAAAAAAAAAAGAAATAAGAAATAAACAGCGTTATATTGATGAATAATATTATTGTATTATAAAGCCAAAAAAGATATGTCCCTATAGTTAACTATATAAGGGTAAGCCTCCCTGGTTTAAACTGCTCAAGACATGGTTCGAAATCCTCTAACAAGTCCTCGCATAAGTATGTCCCGTACTCATCATCGGAATGGCTAGGATCACGATGATATTCCATATATATGAACGCCCCAACTCGTTCAAAGACATTCATGTCCTGACATGGTCGAATAAGCAGTGCTTGGAAATTTTGAGGACTCTCCCTCTTCGCAACCAGCATCATTCGTATCTCGTGCAGGCTGATCTCTGTTCCCCAGCCATCATCGATTATGAACGTCCCAATACGCTCGTTTTCGTCCTGTAAGCTGGCAACATTCCATTCATCCAGAAACGACTTTATCTGCTCTCCTGACACGTCTTCAGGACAATTTGATAGCAAAACGTCTTTGAGCATTGCGACTGGGGCGTTCAGCTCTAAGTGTGCGCAGGCCGTCTCATTTTCATCAGAACCCATAAAATGAGGAACAATATCCACAACCTGTATTAGTGATTCCCACCCAGGCTGCCGCGTTTTCTCGTCCCACGTCACGAGTCCATCTCGACTAGCCCAGGACCAACTAGGGGCACGGTATTCATTCTTATGGCACTTGGAAGGCAAACCTGACCATGAGTGCCAGAGAAGCCCTCGATGAAGATCAGTCCTCCAGAGACCATAGATATACGTGTCGTCAATCATTTCTTTGAAACTTGCAGCCAGCCCGTCCATCGCCGGTAGCTTGTCTGACAGAGCTGTCAGGTTTCTGCGAGTATATGTTTCAACTGCGCCATACCAATACGAAAGATAAGTCTCTTTTTTTAAGACTTTTTCGGTCGCTGAAATAACCTTTGACTCGGAGATAAGCATAGAGAGCACATCGTGCTTTGGCAGTTTATGGCCCGGGCTCTCAAGTTTCTGCGATACAGCACATTCGCAGTAGATAACGTCCTTTGTGAAGTACAATATCCGCGTAGAGAGAAGCGCCTCCTGTAGAGTCCATCCTCTAGTTGCCCAGCGGCAAGTCCGCAAAAACTTGTCGATGCTTGTCTCAGGAGGGTACCTCAGGTAAATGTCGCCGGATTTATCTGAAAGAGTACTCGAATGAAATGATTGAAGCTCTTTGAAAGCATATTTCGAAGTCCATCGATAGGACGAATGTCGATTTAAAAATCCGTCAAAGGATGATTCAGAAGTCGCAGCTGCGATGGTCACAAGAGCGTTGCCGTAAATCTCAGACATCAGCAGTGCTTCCTTTGTCCAGTCTTTAGAATCATCCTGAATAATGCAGATAGCATCTATCCAGATGTAGTCGATACCAAGAGCACGGGCCGTTCGCACGGCATCCTGGAGAGTGTTCGGAAGCTCGCTCAATGAGAAACCAAGCATTCTCGGGGCTAGGTTGCTTCTCGTAGTTAGGAAGCCGTTCTCTTCATTCGGAATTGATCCCCAACAATAACTCAACGCTGCGTAGCCTCCGCCAACGATCTTTTCGCTCGTGAGTTGTAGGATATCATTTTTGATTTTCAAGATGCGAGTCGGAGTATATCCTTGTAGCTTGGATTTGCAGATGTGGTGATCACGCTGGCATGTCAGAAGCCACTGCTTGATAGATTTCACATTGTTCATTGAGAGTGGATCACTAAGGGGCAAAGATGGCTCTAAACCACTTTATTAGAACTGACCATGATAACTTCAATACAAATACATACCTTCAAACATCTGGATAGCGATTTGGTATTTGATGTCTCGTCTTCCTACATCGGCTTGAAAACCCGGCGCTTCGACAAGTATTGTTTGATGTCGGCTACGTCTATATAGTGATAGTGACGATTTCTGATAGCAATCCTCATCGACTTGGGCTGTCAACAGCATTCGCCCAGATTCCGGGGGGGAAGCGGAATCCAGCCCCTGCCTGTGGTACTCCTCCAGCAAACTGGATCTGATGAAGCGGCAGAGGCTGCAGCCATGTGCAGCCCGGTCTGCCATCTTTGGGAGGTTCGGAAAAGTATCTGCGTATTCTTGGCGGATGAAGTGATTTGAAGCTATCAACCCAAGTGCGTCCTCCTCATTATAGTCTTTGGCGATGATCCGGATCTGGAACTTTGCGCATTGCGAACACAGAAGATGCTTTTGGGAAGGATCGATGACAAGGCTGATTGTTGCCATCAAGCCATGCTTGTCGGGATATGCGGTGAAGGACTCTCTCATCATTGGAAGTTGCTAGTGTGGTAAATTTCAACCACACGACTGCAGGCCAGGAAAATATAGAGGAAAGAAAGGAAAGAGGTAGAGAAGACCTGGGGGGCGCCTCTCACTCTTGATGATAAATCATCTACAGGCAAATCCGAGGTGGAGAAAAGCTTCGCAAAAGTCCATAATTGTTTATGCATTATTGCGGCACAGCAATGTCTGGTACTGTAAGTAGAAAAAACGCCTTACCTGTAGGGTGTGGAGGTTATTCCAGATTGTTGACCTACCAGAAGTTCCCTGCTGCTGCCTGGTCTCCAAATTCGTGACTCACCTAGAAACTTCGGCAGTTCCACTTACCCTAATTAGAATGGGACACCTCTGGGTTAGACAGCATGCACCACGGCCAGCCGCAGAAACATTGGAAGGATTGGATGCTGATTAACAGTGACTTTGAGGAAATTTTTATGGTGAAAAGAAGGGAGAGGAAACGGGCATGTCGCTCAGCAAGATTCATTCCCCAGCGTAGCTCGATCAACGACCCCAGTGCAGCAGCCTAATAATCCATGCAATCCGCGGGCGTTTGGCTCTTCTGATACAATGTTGGGTGGCGCGGCGTTATGAAGTGGCAATTAAGAAACCAATATATTATGGTATGAGTACGTGGTTATTGACCGTCGGGATGCGTTTTGAACGGATGGCGGGATTTGGAGCTTAGCGTGGTGGGAAGGCGACATGTTTCCGTGTCACAGGCTATTACGAAAGTGGCTCTTTTTCGCCAGGTAGACATGTCCTGTGATCGCCGGATCAGTACTCAGGTGGGTGACCACTGGGGAATCCCTGGTGTTGTATGTATTTTTGTTATTGTGTATCCCTTTTTATTTTTATTTTTAAAAATCCTCATTGTTCAATTTGAAGTAAATCAGGGTTAAACAGGATGCAAATGTGATGGAGCTGCACTTTCATATGCCCTTGTGGCTGGCCGCCCCCACCCCCACTGTTAAATAGCAGGTTATTTAAGCAGTTTCCGGTGTCACTAAAACGTTGGATCGGCAGATTAGTTAATATGTATATAGAAAATACCCCTTATATCGTACATGTGGTAAAGTCCCATTATGAGGGCATTCACCGTGATATTAGTCACGGAATTTAATAATCATCTGCAAGTCCAAGGCTGTTGGGTATATTTACGTGCTCTAGGATCTGCGTTACGCAATAACAAATCTTGTAGCAGCTGTCTTTTCACTGGGGTTAAATTTATAATTGTCGAGTATATCACGTGCGATAGCATGGATAACTGGGTCACGCGCAAGAATCTTTGAATTGAACTACTCGAGATCTGGAGGTGACTCGGTTCTTGCCAAATACCACTACTAGAGAAAGACCACCAAAGCTAAAGAAAGAAAATGATCAAGCCAACAACATCTAAGCGAATTTGACAGAGTTCTGGGATCCTCTCTCGACGCAGCGACCGGTGTAGCGCTGGAGCTGGTGGGCAGTGCCAGTGCATGCACCACCATCGTATGCTGATAGGGTTTCTATGTTAGTCGGTGCGCCCGCTGCAGATTGGTTGATGGTCACCTACAGTAGGACTGCCAAAAGCCTCCAGTATTGTAGAAGAAGGCTCCAGTCTTGTCGTCCAGCGCGTAGCACCTGCCGGAGACAGGCGCAGCGTGGAAAAGAATGTTCCTGTCGTGGTTGCTGAATACCTTCATGTTAGCCATATGAGCATGTGGATCAGAACTGGGTGGTCACTCGCCAGTCGTCCAAAGTACGGTACTGGTTCAACTTGACGTTATCTCTGCCCTCCAGGGAGACGGCCTCGGGCATTGGCTCCGGTAAGGCAAGGGCCGGGATGGCAAGGGCGGCGGTGATCAGAAAGAACTTCATCTTGAAATTGGGATACAGAGAACTAATTGTAAAAGTCGAGTGTATATAGATTGCTGATTGGAGAGATGACGGATGGTGAGTTGAGTTGAGTTGATTGAGATGAGCTCGGCCTGAAAAATTCATGTCGCGCGACTCTTTATATACTTTTTTATGCAGCTTGACTGGAGAAAGAGAGACTTGGACGTGATCATAGCAATGATATTTTGCATGATCTAGAAATAGAAACAAGTCCTACAGTAATTGATCCTTATTCGCGATGATGCAGATCTCTTGTCATTCAATCTCTCTTCTTCGCCGAGCCATCGTATAATACGTAAGAGAGTCCTACGTCAGCCAGCCGTATATTATCCCGTCTTTGATTTATTGGCTCTATTCAAAAGTGGAAAAGACGCGCTCATGCTATCGTATAGCATCAATATACGCTCGTATATTATGTCTCACCTGGTGCAACCAAGTAAGGAAGTTGATCAGCATTGTGTGTTATGGCTTGCTTTCGCCCTACACTCGTATGTACCATTGTGCTGACATTTAATGAGGTTTTTGCGCATTCTGTTGCCTGAGTTCTGCTCGCCGAAAATATGGACTGATCCTCACTCCTTCAAGTCGAATTGTTGCCTGCCTTGGTGCAGTAGAATACCTATTCAAGTCCGCAGCCAGCGGTTAGGATGACGTTCTTTCGACTTTAAGCTCCATTATTGGAACAGGTTGTGGTAGAGTCCTGCAGATCTATTGCCGCAGCTTAATGATCTAGGCATTTTCATCTCAATCTAGCCTTTTGGCTTACGATGATCAACGACTCCGCCGAGGTTGTATCTGCTGGCGTCCAAGGAAATCCAAAAAGGCAACAGGCAGCATGAAATAACCGATTACCTGTCAAGTATAAAGGTCATGTTTTCCAGTCACTTTTTTCTCCATCTCACAAACCATCTTACACTTCAAACATCCAAATCCACTACACCAAAATTACAAAATCATTTAATATGAAGTTCTCCATCGTTGCCTTAGCTCTGAGCGTTTCGTCCGTGATGGCTTTGCCATCCGAGGCAGCCAGTGGACACAGCTTGCTCGCCAGAGACAGAGTCAAGTTGAACCAATACCGTACCTTGGACGACTGGTAAGATTGAATCGTAACTTCGCCAGACGTTTGCCTAATCAGCCGTGTAGCAAGAACGACAGAAACATATTGTTTCACGCCGCTCCTCCCGCAAATAACTGCTATGACCTCGATAAGCAGACCGGTGCTTTCTTCTACAACACTGGTGGTTACCTTTTGAGCCAAGGCAAGTTCTATCCCCAAGTTTAGCAATTTTTTATAGAGCAAGCTGACAGGTTCTCGGACAGTCCACAAAGACATCGGATGTGCCGGCGATTGGACCGCTATCCGTGGTGGCGCTTGCATGGCGAAGGGCGACTACAAGTCCGTTGTCTTCCGCTAAATCGTGTGTTGTATCCAGAGTTAGGGTGTCCACTTGGGGCATGCTGACTCGCAAGACACGAAAAGTAACTTGCCAAGATGGAAGTCGGAGGAGTGTAGGCTTTTTAGATTTAAAACTATGAATCCAATGGGAATCAGTACACGAACGGAACAGAATATAGTTATAAAATCCACACTTTCACTATTTACGAACGTAGGGGAGTCTGGTGTTTGGACCGCAAACATCAACTCCACCGGCGCATCGACCGCAACCCTGTTGAGGTGTTTTCCAGAAGAGACTTCTCCGTCAGGCGGGAGTTGGCAGTGTGCAAGACGAACTCCAGTGGTGAATGGGCGCTATATTACACTTCCAAAAGAAATACCCTGTTTTTTTCTTCTTCTTTAATTTTTTCTTTTTGCACGGATCACCGCCTGTCACTCACCAGAAGTTTGACCTGGCCGTGTGGGTGCTGAGCGACTCGCGTCTCCTTTTTGGTGATATTTCTCAGACCACATGGTTGGAGCAAAAGATTGTTGCACCGGGGAAACACGAAGGTAAGCCAGATGCTGTTCAGTCCTTTCCCACTGTTGATGAAAAAGACGTCAAAGTCAGTAATATTAATTAGCACTACAACCAGTTCTATCTGTGTAAATTTATCCTTCTTTTCTTCGGGGAACTTGCTACACATGGCCATCGTCGATGCCGTTGCTGAGAGAGTGACAACGAAAGGACAGGGCACAGAGAAGGCCTCAGCTGGAGCTACAAAGGCCCGACTGTCTCAATCTCCATGTTCTCGTCCTTCAACTCTCAGCCACATAACCCGCAAGACATCCACCCAAGCTCCTGGCGACGAATAGTTTCCGCCTGGGATGTTCTTGCACGAGAAGCTTTGTCTCGACGGTACCGTTCGCCTTCACCTGGGATCCATCCAATCTTTACTCGACCATTAGCGATTCATCTCTTCAAGTATATCGGGTCGTTATTCCTGATGTAGAGAGTCGTGCGGACAAGACAAGCGAAATGTAGACACCTACGTTGCCATTGTCGGAGGTGACTAAAGAGAAAGCACCACTGTGCAAGATTCTCGTGCCGAAAGAAATGATCTTGCTGCCACGATCATCTCGAAACCGATCCGTCCAGCTTTTCCCTGCTGCTAGTGTGAAGGAGAAGGCTACTGTCATCATCCGGCCGCGCCTTGGCCATAACTCATCACCACCCCTTGGAGTGTATCTTGCCGCAAACGATCTTGGTGGCTGGATTGATCTTGATACATCACACAAAGAAGGAATGGCTCGTAGTTTGGAAAGGACATTTGATGCGCAATTTGAGGAGTAGGACGACGATGACTGTGTTCTAATTCCATTCGATTACTAGTAAATCCAGACTCTACCTTTCGCAACTTCTTTTACTCTTCCGTCCCAAAGTCGTTCATCAAGGAACTGTATCGTAAATATGATAATCGCAATAAAACCTCACTACAATAGTGCGTTCATTTCTTCTTGGGCCCGCATACTTAAGACTTGTGTTTTATTGCCACACCAGAATGCCTCGAATATACCATTACAAAGATATATCGGCCTCGAAAACCATGAATACTGAATACCTACTCAAAGACAAGTTGCCTCGAACGTGTCATTTATTACGTGTAAAAAAGAAAGGGAAAAAAAAGAAAATACTTATAGCCCTAGAGTAACAGAGCTGTATCACTGGGTTTGGTAATACTCCTTGTGGGACTCGGCTCATTGAACAGAAGCAAGAGATGTATAATGATAAAGGCATGACATTTTCTTAGTAATCTGGCAAGATTTGGAATGATCAGTTTGGGATCATTATTGTGCACAGCAAGATGGAACAGCTGAAAATGCACAATGACAAATTGTTCGGTCAAGTAGTCCGGGAGTGGTGCCAAACAATCGTGACTTCACTATAGGCATTGAGCCAGGGTGGATATGGGCGGGATGTGTGAGGCTGTTTTGTGTGGAGTCAAGAGAAGGCAAGCCCATATGCAATCGTCGCTACCAAATCTGCGAGTGGATATACGATTTTCCTCAGCTCGAGTGATAACAAAGACTGCGGTCAACCCATGGATAGCGACTTGGATGCCAAGATTCAGCGGAAGGAGATATGCTCGGAGTTGCAGATACTGAGGCCAAGTCCGCGATTGGTAGCCAGTCAGCCAGCCTGGTGATAACGGTGCTCTACAAGAAGGCTGAAAGATATAGCCGAGAGAGCGTGAATTGCCGTGAAAACCACTGATCAAATACCTAAATACTACTGCAAACTTTTGAAAGTGTCGGCCCACTTTCAAGAATATGTGCGAGCTACCTTTTTGTCGCATCTACCTGCCGCACGATATATTTGGAACTTTGCGGCAGGAAATGGCGGAAACTACGAGTTACTCTATGCCGACTACATGTTCGGTAGACAAAGATTGACAATGACTAGGCTCTGCGGAATATGTTTTGTTTCCCGTGTACATACGTAGGTAGGTAGGTATGCAGTCATGCTGCACAGCTTGTGGAACCATAACAGCAGGCAGGCGTCCAGCTCGCTGAAAGAAAGAGTGGACTGTCTGTCGGGTGTGGAGCAGGTGTCGGGACCGAGTATAGTATTTGGTAGTAGCCTGTGGATCCATCTGCCGACGCCTCAGGTCACCTATCGCCCGACACTATCGCCAGTGTCGCTTTGCGCAGCCCCATTGCAGCCTGCAGATCGCCATTGCTGTTGTTATCATCTCACCTAAGCCAGAGCGGAGCTCAAGATGTGATCAAAAGAAGCGACTGTATGATGTCTGCATCGACCCCAACGGGCAATCCTCGGGCTACGCTGACGGGCCCGAAGCAGGTGATCTGCAGTGGGTACTGCCTACGTCAATGCAACATACCTACCTACTGTGGTCGTACTTTCTTTCGCCCTATATGCAAGATTCCTGACACAACCAAAGGATCAACGATAATTCATAATTATGACGAGCTTCCAATCCCTTGCACATAGTAAACAATCATTCTTGCTACTGTCAAAGTGTAGGAATCAAGTGGAGCGCTTCTCCACTCATGTATATACCTATCTTTGACCATCCAACCTCTCTTGGATGTAACAACTCAACCGATACAACAACTATTGTACCATACCTAGCATACCTTTTCACAGCTAGTACCGTAGACTTCCATGCATAATATTAAACATAAATAGTGGGCAGTATTCAGGCAGCACATTCTGCTTGCTACAGGTAATTACCAATGAATTCAACTCGTAGAAAGGGGAGAAATCGAACAAGATGGTAATCGGGCTTCCAGAACTATGAATCCACAGGCTCAAATACGCACATGACCTTGCCTGGCTGCGCCGTCACCTGATCTTTCATGTCCCGCCACATGGTCTCCGGGTCGTACCCTGGGGCAAAGTCTACATTGTAGTCTCGAAGCACCATGGCTATCACGAAGCGCAGCTCGGTATAAGCCATGGACTTTCCCACGCACATTCGGTTCCCGACGGAAAAGGGGGCAAAAGCCTGCTTGTCCATGATAAGTTCGGGGCGTGAGTACCAACGCTCAGGAATGAATTCATCTGGTGATCGGAACGCTGAGCTCACTGGAAGAAGAAGTGGAGGGGGAGAATTAACATTGTCTCTCTCGAAAAGAAAAACGTGGCACCATATCGTAATGAGGGGGGAGGTCACTTACATCGCTGAATCGTGTACTTTGGTGCCGTGATCTTGGTATGAGGGGGAATGTACACTGCTCCAACCTGAAGACCTTGGGCCCCAGTAAGTCTCGCATTCCCGGACATGGCAGGAGGCACGAGCCGCAACGTTTCATTGATGACACCGTTCAGGTGCGGTCGGGTAGCCAAGGCGTTGGCATCCCGAACGTCGACGCCTTGAATCTCGGACCGGACAGCGGCTGCGTGCTCTGGATACTTGGCCAGGAACCAGAAGGAGGCAATGAGCGAAGCTCTAGTGGTGTCACTTTACAGAATCAACTAGGTATTAATTCTCTGTGGTGGATTTGCGTGACTTTTTCTTTTTCTTGGTGGGTGGGCATTTCTTACCTCCCGGCAACCACGGCCGCCACCACAGTTCCGCTGAGAAGGTTGAACCTCTCGTGAGGCGTACTTTGCTCCTCCAAACTATGATACTCTTTGATAAACCACGACGCCATGTCAGGTCTAGACATTCTGTCTCCACGCTGTGCAATGATGATTAGCAAAACGGGCATTTTCCTGTCTCTCCACACCATCCACAGGCGTAGTAGGATGGGAATTTACCTTCATACGCAATTTCAGGCGGGTATCGCAAAAGTCGACCAGGCGGAACCAATTTTGAACGATGTCTACAAAAGGAACAAAGTCGAAGGCCATGCAGGCAATCCATATAGCATCGCCTAGAGGACCCAGAAACGCCAACGCCCGGTCGCGGTGGAGGATAGCAGGATGCATGGTGCGCGATCGGATAAGATCAAAGTCTTCGCCAAAGAGAACATCACCGATAACGTCAAACGAGAACCACGACATGATTTCGTCAAGGTCTACCGGATCCGAGTGCTTTTCGGAAATGTACTCGACTAGCGCCTCGGCCAGGCCTGCCACTCGAGGTTGGAAGGATTCCATTGCTTTTTGGTCATATTAGTCGGTGCTTTTAATTGATATCTGATAGGACAAAAGCGGAAATACCCTTTGAGGACAGAGACTGAGACCAAGTCTTCCGCCATTCTCTATGCTCGTGCTTGTTGCGGGTGAAGACAGCAGAGGTGCGCGGTTGCATGAGATCATACCATACGTCTTTGGTAGTGTCATTGCCCCAACCGTCAATTTTTTGAATGGCATCGGCTGTGGCAACGCAAACCTCATTTGGACCTAGTGATTGTATCAGTTAGTGTCTTAGCAGGAGTACAGTGGTCAGATCGTTGCCGCCCTAGTAACGTACCAGTTCGCACAACCGGTCCGTACTCGGCGTGAAGACGGTCCAAGAAGGCAAAATTCCTCGAGTCACTGACATGGAATACATGCCAGAGCTTAGTCACGGCAGCTAATCTCGGTCCAGGGAGGTGTCGGAGTTGGTGGAAGAACAACCGGTAGACGACCATGCTCCCCAACAGGGAGATCAGGTAAACAGCAAAGGAGGATAGCGCTCGATACGCAGCTTCACCAAAGCTGCATGCTAAGCTGCTCCTGAAGATGTAGACAAGACAGGTAACGAGCAAGCCATGGCTGAAGACAATGGTGCGAGTTTTGAGATGCCACTCGCCCCGGATGAAGACGCCCCAGTGGGCGGCAATTCCGGCGATAATGGAGGCAAGATATTCGTAGCCCATTGCTGTTTTCTGTTCTTAATTTGAAGAGGTTATGGATCCCGGTATGGCGACTCGGGGAAAGAATTGTGTGTATAGTAAACTTTCGGTTTAAATTCATTCCCTGACAATAAAGTCCTCTCCATGAAAGAGAGGTTTCATATCTCTTGTATACAGGGATCCGTTCCCTGATTGATGCCTACAGTACTGCCCGGTAAATCAAGTATCTGCAAGAAGTAAGCACTTCTTTGAGACGTGATGACAGTATATAGACAGTATGCATGATATACCCACTTTCTGACCCATAGCAACATTCTTATCAGTTATGTTTAACGGGCCACCCATGTAGATTTTCGTCGATAGTTCAAACCACAGGGCCCACACAATATCACATGTGCACATCAAGCAGGCTGTCACACTACACCAGGCTTCGAGAATGGGAAACCGTATGAGCCTTCGAGGTCAATTGAGACATCTCGATGTAGGAACGTGGCAGTTTTTGTGTCATGACCGTCACTAGAACTTGACGCATACGGCATGGCACTTTTGTGCTGGTGTATGAGATAAGTTCTTGGTGGGGACATCACATGCATTTAGCACATTGGTCATCTTCACTTAGGAATCTGTTGCCATGCATCACTGTGCCGCATCTCTCAAAGACTTTGAGTGTAACTACTTGGACGAGTAGGCTGGCTTACAGCTGTGACGTATGACAGCGGAGTCGTTGAATACGCAAGTGATGCGTTTATCGCGCATGATAAGGTAAGGCAGGTGGATTGGCCATGGAGTCTTGCGGCTGCCGTGATATGACAAGCAATTGCAAGGTGATATTTGATCACTCCTGGGCATGATCTCTATATATGAGATGCTGGGACCCCTTTGTGTCCTTTGGGATATGAGTTACATTGGTCTTGTTCCCTGATTTCATCTGGTCCAGGTTTTCTTCTGTTTACCCCCAAAGACATATCCAACGATTTTAAGTCGCCAGAAATCGAAAAATGCTTGCCAAACCTTCCAACCACACATCCGTCAAGGCCTCAACCGGGCCAAAGCCCCAACTGGGTCGTCCCGGTCTCCTGAGCCGGGTCGCCGCCATCTGGAACATCTTCTGGCTCCTTACCAAAGATGATTTAGTCACATTTGTCCTCCCGACTACCACATTTGGCATCTTTGGTGCTCTCTCTGGACCCTCATTTGTTCTACCTACCAGCCAGCCATTCCAAGTCGTGCTGCGATTGCCCATGGTCATTTTGTTCACCTGGTCCAATCTTCTCATCTTTGAACTCGCAAACCAACGACTACCCAGTTCCTTCGCTGAGGACGCTCTGAACAAACCATGGCGACCCGGTCCCAGTGGCCTGGTGGGGCCGACCCAGTTGCGGCAGGCGATGCTCTTCTGCATACCAGCCGTCATCGCCGTCCACTATGCAGTGCTGGGGACGGGTCCCGAGGCCATAGGCTTGGCCGTTCTCACTTGGCTATATAACGACCTGTCTGGGGGCGACGAGCACTGGGTTCTCCGGAACATCATCATCGCTGCTGCATTCGGTCTGTACAACATGGGTTCCCTAAAGGTTGCCGCCGGGCTGCTGCCCGGCCAGCCGGGTGATTTAACGGAGCAGGGCCACATGTGGATCCTGGCAGTCAGCGGCGTGATTTTGTCCACAATGCACGTACAGGATCTCAAGGATCAGGAGGGTGACCAAGCCAGGAATCGCCATTCTGCGCCCTTGGTTCTGGGAGACTGGATTTGTAGATGGACGGTTGCTTTACCCGTAATCTTCTGGTCCTTGTTCTTGCCACGGTACTGGGGATTTTCTACACTGGGAGTGTCATGCGGCACATTTTTGATGGGTTTATGGGTAGCGTTCAGATGTATGGCCTACTCGGACAACAAGGCCGACAAGCGAACATGGGAAATCTGGGCACTGTGGATTGTTTCGTTGTACGCATTGCCCTGGCTAGTATACACTTTACGGGAGGACGCATAACGTGTTGCCATTGGCCAGAGCCCCCAAAGGCCCCGATCAGACGGGAAAGGACTCTCATTCGTTATTCCTTTCGACATTTTAGATATTCGTATGCAGTTGGAGCAACATCGTTGAAAAGCACTTCAACCTTTACACCTGGTAAGGAGAGGGAAATATTTTGAGCTCCTCGTTTGATTGTTGGCTATCAACACCCGGGATTATGCTTTCATCGGATTACACTCTTGTCGTACTGACGTAGTCAGTACCCACCGCAGATCACCTGCGTGGGTATATAGTCGCTCTTCAGCGCCTCTCTTTTGTAGACTAGAGATCAACTCAGACAACTTTCAATGCTTCCTCGACCATCTCGTCTTCAGTTCCCCCTTTACACATCGGCTCAGGTGAGAACTCTAGTTAAAAAAAATGCAATTTCTTAGAAGTGTTGGGATAGGTTCCACTGTGCCACAAAGCCAAAAGAGACATGTCCCTGTGGTCTGGAAACTGAACGGATATTATCTGACACACACCCTAAAGGACGGGAAGGAGACTTTGGCTTTTACTTCTATTTTCGCTAAATTAGTATCTAAGTGGGTGACAATTAGAGAGTCCTCGGTGTTGTATGTTCTTGCCGTTTTAATTTTCTATGCATAAAAGCTTTTTTTTTTTTTTTTTTGTATTCTCCTTATATATAAATTCATATATGTATATATTAATCTAATGGTAATGTGCTTGAAATTGCCTAGGAACCTAGCCGCCTGATCACCTGGATATTGTTGCTGACTTGAGTCGTTCCACGATGTGTAAATGTCTCGAATTTGACGCCAGATTGATTGATTTAGGTAAAACACTCGGCGAGTAAATTGCTTCTCGACCTATTCTTGAGGGAGTGCGACATAGCCCACAATGCTGCACAATTGATCGCAACATTGGAAGCTGGAGCTCTTTAGAAAGAATTCCTCCCCAGTACTCTCTTGACTTCGTTGGGTATATTCCCAATTCTTCTCTTTTAGGCCCTGCTGTCTCAGTGGCTCCAGCACCTTGTCATTCTACACGGCTTCTTGTTTCTCGTTCAGGGTGTAGACGCCACTGCCTGGTGTGCCATTTGATCCTTTGGTTGCAGCGCGGGGGCGGGACATGAAATGTCACCCGTTCCCGTGCAAACGATGCTAAGGTATATCTTTGGTTGCCAAAAGATGTCTCCCCAATCATCAGCCGCAGCAGCCGGGTTGGGAAGATGACAATCTCCTTCACAGTTCGAAAACCGCTCGAAAACTTATTCAGGATTTCAACGGGGTTGGATTTCCTCCTTTGCTCTGTACCATAGCTGCATCACGTGTCAGGGCCATCGCTTTCTTGACTTCCCACTGCCAGGCGGTCAGGTCGCCGTTGTCATCATCTCCGTCCTTGCTATCCTTGGCCGACCCTGTGAGTTTTCTCATGCTTGCATCTCGTTCTGGTCGCACGAGGAGGGCCAAACTGTACCGATCAAAGAGGCGCTGCTCGCCTGGAGCGACGCTAATGCGATGAACATTGCTTCGCAGCAGGCCGCCGGTCCACTGGACCATGGCATCGCCGAGATTCACAATAAGGCAGCCAGGCTGGGGTCGAACCCAAAGCCAGGCACTTTTGTCTTCAGGATGGCCTTGTGGAGCAAGGATTTGCAGCCCGCCGAGCAGGTTGGCAAGTAGTGTGATAGTACCAAAGTCCGTGTGGTGGATCATGTTGGTGCGCTGATTGTCCGGGCTGGCAAACGCCTTGATAAACCTTATCACAGTGCCGGATAGCTTGTCAGGCTGTTGTAAAGAGGAAATCGCATCTGCGGGCAGACCGAGCTGCGTTGCCAGAGATCTGCTGATTGTGTTCACGATGCTCTGGCCATGATCGAGAAATGAGGTCAGGAGTGGAAGATTGTCATGCATGAGTGGTGGCAGTGGTTGGGGGGCGGTATTCCCTTTCAGTCCGTCTTGGCCAACATTGAACCACTCAAATCGATCAGGCTCGCCTGTTTCAATTTTGGCTTGGCCGCGAGGTTTAAATCTAATCTAGGTAAGCAAGAAACCGTCAACATTATACTTCAAGACGAGATTGCTTACCCAAGAAAGCTTCTTGGAGCATCATGCAGGAATTTCGCCTTTGTTTCCGGAGGCAGGTCCAAAAGGTCCTTGCCTACGCCAAAAAGCTGGTCAATCTCTCCTATGGCTGCGTCCCCAATCTCGTCGGCACGAAGGTCGAGTTGGAAAAAGCCCAGCTCCTGGCAAGCTGCTACTAGATCTTTAGCAACGGCTTGGTCCCCCGAACCCAGATCCACCAGGCGAAAGGTATACAGTGGCGCGACTGGAATATCGGCAGGAAACGGTGCAAGTTGCTGGAAAAGTACCTCCGAAGCCATGCTAGGCCGTGGTTGTGATGGCAAGGCAGTTGTGTCAAGAAAATCAAGGCTATAACAGTGATGGCCGTCCCAACGCAGCCAGGTAAACTACAAAGCGCATCCAGTGACCCTGCACGTCGCAATTTCGGTCAAATATATACCTTTGTGATAGTCATACAACCCGCGGACAGGCTGGGCTCCTTACCGGCTGTCATGGTGGCTTATGGTTGTTGGTGCGAACAAAGATGACTGCATATTAGCGCGTAGCAAAATGGCTCCCAATATCATCTCGCATGATTTGATTCGATGTCTGCCTTACTTCCACCAGGTTTCCCCCGCCGCATTCCTACTGACCCCGCTTCCCCGCCTATATAAACGGCTCCCGCGAGGCCTGCAATTACAAGTCTCGGGGATTGTATGATACAGGACACGTCGGCTTCTTGCTTGACTATTATGAATAAATACTCGGCGTATACGGTACTGCAAAATTGAACCTTTCAAGCGGTACGACACAAACTCATATCCAAGAGAGCCATATAGATAAAATCCAGTGGAGCACGGTACCAACAGTCTTGAGGATCAGTATTGCACCCATATGACACAGCGGCTTTTGCGACATCCTCACTGCGGACCGATAAAATAAGTTACCATACAGCAATCATTCGAACATGAGCAAAAATGTAAAATTCAAAAACATACAACACCAGGGATTCCCCAGTGGTCACCCACCTGAGTACTGATCTGGCGATTACTTGCTTATTTAGGGCAGAGCGGACGGGATGCCAAGTTTTCAAGTATCTATGGTCGTATGTGCTTGCAAGCTTGGTAAACAAAACATATATTCTTCACCAGCTCTCTGTGAACTCTCAGTCACTCTTCACGTGCTGGAAGAGAATATATAGAACTGACAGAGGTGCGTATCCGAGCCCTACCTCAATGTATATGTCTTGTGTTAAGATGTGCTATGTTATTGCCAAGATTTAAAGTCTCTTAAGATTTTGGATAAAATAGATTTGTGCTAAGCCTTTAATCTCGATCCTTAAAACCTTTAATATATCCGGTTGAGAGTGCCCAAGTTTGTTTTAACCGAGGCTCTTCATCACCTCTCTCTTCTAGATCGTTGGTAACTCAGATATCTTCATATGCTTCCTCGACCGTCACATATTGGCTGAAGTGAGACATTCGGATTGCGAAAGGCCACAAGAATAATGTGTACAGATTGAATCCATACCGACATTGGTTGAGGAAGAAGTCCAGTGCCTCACAGACAGTTTCGTGGCTCGCACAATGTCAGCCGCGCTGTACAAATAGGTACCCAGAACTCCGGCTCCGAGGCCAATAATTTCATATGGAAGCGATTTTCTACGTCTTCAAGCGAACGTAGCGCTTAGCCAGAAACGCCTTGAGCCCAAATGGGCTGGACGCCACGCGCTATACTGGTGAGGAATTTGCATTGGCGGCTCTCGTGGTCACTCTCTTTCACTCTCATAAAGTTCGATTATACTCTGTGTAATCATGTAGCAGGTAACAGAACGCGCAGATTTCGAGGCTGGTTAAAGATACTGCTTGGGTACGCCGAAGGTACCGTGCAATACTGGGCTGCCACAATCGAAAACATGTCATACATTGAAGATACTCTAGGCATTGCAATAGCCGCCAGCTTCCAGCATATAAACGCACCAGAATCTCGTTCCCGGCTTGCGCATTCGTCAGAAATGAGGTGGTGGTCAGCGCGACAGCCCAGTATGATACCCTTGCTTGGCCGACGCGCAATTGGTTAAAAGGAGATCAACAGCGGCTGAGGCTGAGTTTTTGAAGACCATGCATTCAATCGCTTGCGGTGATTTTATGTTCTCAGTATCCTTTCACCTCTTAGCGAGAAATGCATCCAATGATATTGTGTCGATTCCAGCGTGGCACATTGGCGACCACTAATGGAAGCAGCCACTGCCAACGCATCGATAAAATGCAGCATGGATGATCCTGTGAGAACGATTGGTACGTATAATTCTTACTACTCAAACACATATAAGTACCTTGTGCCGATTCACCGACTCTAGATGACGTTTATTACTTTGACTGGGATATTACGACAAAGCAAGATAACAACATAAGTTCACTATGGCTCTAGAGATTGATTGTGAGTCCAGACTCGAGCTCATGCCAGATCCCGATATCGCAGGCATAGGGGTACGGAGCGAGTCTGCAATCATTCAAATCAGACATACTTATTACATATATTGAATTCATGTCTACTTAGGTTATCGCCGGCTTCTTGGGTACCGCCTGGACCACTATTTGTCTCCTGTTGTTGTATTACTTTATTGGCTATGACCCAATCAGGGATCCCTTCGAATCAGAACACGGAATGGTATCGCACGGCTTTCGGAGGCCAAATCCAGCAGACGTGTTTTTCCATCGCTTTACCCTAAATGGGTACGGCCGCGACCCAAAACAGGTAATCGTTGGTCGAAGCTCAGAAAACGCGAAAAAACTAGATGCCATTTTCAACGAGGTCTACATATCTTCTCTTCTTTCCTGTTGGGGCCTTTTGAACTACAGTGATACTAATTGTTTTCATAGATAGTTATGGCCATGAGCGATTTGCAAATCCTTTCCGGGCTCTCCATCTTAATTAATGGATACTTTTCTCTCCAACAGGGCTTGTCAACGTACCATTGGAAGATGATTATACGCCTCGCTTGGTTTACAACAATCACGCACCTTGCAGCTTTGACATGTCTCCGCAGCTACTTTCATCGAAATCAGAAAAAGCGGCTGATAAGATTGATTCTAATGAGCATTCTTGCCGGCACACTTATTGCGACTACGTTGCCCTATGCCGATCTTCCGTTTGGGGACCATTCTTACGCTATTTGCTATTGCAAAAAGCCATGGACCACGAACGCAGAAGTCATATTGACCTGCCTCCTCATAGCGCACAACGCCCTTATACGCACCATCAAGCTCCATCAATTGACTTCTAACTAGGCGACCAAATTGAAAGTACATCTCATCAGACTTTCTCAAGCATGTTTTGGACTTATTGACAGTCCTTATGGTCGGACTTCATTTAGCCGAGACTTACTAAAGCACATGCTTGTTGTCCAACCATACATCGCCATCCTTACCATAATGGACACTTACCTCATACTATACTCATCATTCGCTTCTGAGGTCGGTACTAATATTTGTCCATCCATGGCGAAGGCCGAATTGACTCTTTGAATTGATGTCTCTCAGATTTGGGCATTGTTGGTTGCGGTAGCTTGGGGCACCATGAAGCTTTTTTACCTGCGGTCGAGTGGTCCTCCAGGCGAGGACGATTGGTCCTTCGGACAGGTCATACCGGTCGTCATGCGATTTGCGCCACTATTGATTCTGGCAGATCGCTTTGAAGACCTTTATTCGATATTTATTTCAGGTAGGCATTCAGACTATGGAAGTCATGAACACTCTCTTATGAACTGCTAGCGCTTCCGTTTTCATGCCCCAGGAGAGCGCTATCAAATGCGATATCATAAGATACGGCTACTTCGATGAGTGAACAAAGTAAGCATGATACGAAACCTCGATATGTTAGGAAAGAACTAATATTACCTTTCATCATAGATTACACAATCTCCAAAGATCAGGTCAGATTGCTGTATTTTCAATGGCCGCAACGATTGCTCGAGAATCCTGTTCACTGCGAGGGACTTGATCGCCTCTGTCTCGTGGAGAATCGCTCTGTGTCAACTCTCAGTATCGTCCCACTCAAGACATTTGTGGATTAAAAATTGTCTCGAAGACCGTACTTGGATCAATTCGAGGACCTTTCCTGGTTTGCGCCTCTGATCCTTCAACTCTGCTTTTGGGTCACTTTTGTTACATTTTATGTTTTCTTTGCTGATTTCGATTACTTTGCGCGCGTATGGGAAGTCTTCCCAACACCCTCAGGGATTATTTCGATTCTATTGATCTTCCCCTAGATTCAGGAGATGTCCAGGAGCCGGTGTGGAACGCATTGTATATGTCATTTTGGGTTCTTGTAGTCTCGCCATTCTGTCATGTATTATTGATTCTCTGTTGGCCTAGGAATAGACCGGGACCGAGGTTGAAGTGGGTTGTATGCGTTTTGAAATCCTTCTTTGGACGTTCTCCTTACTCTTTCCTATATTTTCATGGTGGTATTTTAGTTTGTATGTCACTGCAATCATATTGGTATCACTGGGATCTGTTTATGCCTGTTTCTGTTTTTATAGGGCAAATCTCGCTTCTAATAGCTTATGAAGTTGCAAATCCTCAGGCGGAGTTCTAGAAAAGGTCTGCTTGAATAATGGTTGTGTATTTACCACATAAAGACCTCAAGTAGATCGATATATTCAAAGTGGCGGCTCTAATGACTTTGGAGTGTTACCAAATGCATCAATCAATTCGCAGGTCCCGAGTTGTCCAGTATACTAAGCTGGTGGTAGAAACGACGCAAATAGGACACCCTGAATAGTAGCGTACATGACCATGTACATGACAATGGCACCCGCTCGTTTGGATGTATCAGCCTGGCCGAGTTGCTGAGCTAGCCAGAAGTACCACAGTGGGTATGCAGACGAGAGTCGTGTGATGACTTGAATATGGTATGTTGTGACGGCAGCTCCCGCGAGGAGAAGCTGAGAGAACGCCATGGCCGCAACAAACAAGGAGGCTCCGGAGAATGCAGCAGCCGGACTTTTCGGGTTCTTGATCTCCATTACGGACTCGCCGAGCACCGACCAACCCGACTTGCTCAGCAGATAAATCATGGGTGAAGCAAGGAGAAAAAGTGGAATATTGCCCGGGACCCAGTAGCGTAAGAAGCCAACATTCCTTTGCTTGGTTAGCAAACTAAAGGGAAGAGAAAAAAAAATTGGGATCGTCAAATGACCATGGAGAGCTTCTTACCAATACCTCTCTTGCACAAATGTGTAAATGCTTGGAAGCCATGCGTTGCACCATGGTCTCGGGTCCGATGCGGATGAGCCGGAACAAAAGCTTTGATAAGCCAGCACCTGCGGGCCGATGGATCCCATTGCAATGTACTGGCCACCAATCCCAAGCGCCGCCAAACGCCTCAGGCTGAAGGCATTCGGACTTTTCAGTACCGATGTGAGTTCAGAGATGGCATAAGCAGCAAATGGGACACCATTGAGAATGCCATTGCTGCGAAAGGTTGTGGCGAGTCCTAGAACCATGCCAGATCCTACGATGGCGGCATCGCCAAGAAAACCCCGTGATCTATCCAGACATCCGTAAGAAAATAAAAGGAAGCCAGAGAATGTGAGGAATGAAAAGGGAGCCTCATTGTAGGGTGCGGAAAGGAACAGTCCCGCTGGCGAAATGATGTGGAGCAGTGCTGCAATCACAGCAGTCTGCTGGCTATACAGCCTGAGGCCCAAGCGATAGAGGGCCAAGACAGACAGCAAATGGGCCAAGTGAGAAATGCCGACACCGATCAAAGGCTCCAATGCATCGCTTCCTTCAATGCCTAGTTTGTTAAAGACTGTAATCAATGTCAGCCTTGCACCCGAGGTCGCCCGAGAAATCACGAGATGCCCGAGATGGAATCCGAGAAAATGGCTCGGGTGCTGTATCTCATCCGTAGCGGAGTCGCAGTTGTCCGATTGCCGAGGAATGTGCACAGAACCTCTTTGGGCGTACCTTTGACAATTGCTGAAATGGTAGTGGGCAGGCCCAGGCCAAAAGCCCATTCCTGTTCAAAGACGTAGCCTCTGCGGGCAGATTGGATAAAGTATATGGCGTCCCATCTCGTCAATTTAGTGGAAATGTCAAGTACTGACTCGTTATAGGAGGTGGCCTGGTGCTGAATCAGAGTGGTAGAAGTATCATAAGCTGAGCCAACGCTGCTTCCAATGGCGACCAACAGCAGGAACGCCTTCCAGGCTGCAAAGGCAAGGACCAGTGTTTGTATAGGCCGGCCTAGGTCTAATGAAGCCATAATGGACGGCGCCGTGTGCAGGACTTGTCCAAGTGATTATGGTTTGATGGGTAGGGGGAATTGACAAGTGCTTTGACTTCAGTGGACGCGTCTCTGAGAGCAAGCCACGAAGAGCTGCTAGCTTAGCAAGACGCCACAAAATTTACCCAGAGTTTCCAGCCACTTTACTCAATTACACACAACTGGTAACTTGGAGCACACAGAGAACGATGCGCTGACATGGGAAGCAAAGACTTCCATGTTGAGCACCTTGTTTCAGATGTTTCGAAACATGTGACCCGTAGATACCTTCATATCGCATGCACGCACCGCGCCGAGTACCCAGCGTGAGATACATGTACGTACCATGGGGATTTTGAAGTCGGCAAAACCAACAATGCATCACAGCCGACGAGGAGGGTTGCACAAGGTGAGCAGGTAAAGTACCGTATGCACTACCTCTTGTAGGCAAGTCGGGCGCGGCACGCGGGATCAGGAGGTCCTTTGGGGGTCCTTCGTCTGTAATGCAACTGCGTTCATTCTGTTCGGCACCGCTGGAAGCCAGGTAGCTTGGCAAAGTGGTTCTTGGGGGCCGAGGCTTTTCAAGAGAGCCACTATTGGAGTTGAATGTCATGTTGAAATAGGCACATTTCTGGCACCTTTTTTCAGCTCAATGGGCCCATGGCACGTTTCTACATTTAGGTGGCCAGCGCCGCTAACCAGGTGCCAAGCCAGGCCAGCCAACCTAACCTGGCTGACCTGTACCCGTAGAACCACATGTTGCAAATTTTCCGTTTCTTATTCCCACATGATGTTTGTACGGAACGTTGGTGAATGCCGACGCCGATGAGATGAGCGATGAACATGAGCGATCAGTGCTCAATTATCTGGATACACAAAAGACGCGTTGTGTAGGGAGATCATGTAATGATTAGAGCATCCAGTCGTCGTAAGGGAAAATTGTAGTGTTATGTGCGATCATCGGTGGCAACGTCATCAATGAGCCTGCCACCCATGCTGCCATGCCATGCTAGAACGCGTGAGCAGATTCCAACTGGCAACTTCCAACAACTGGCTGGCTTCCGATCTGCCGAGGCGCGGACTAATTGACTGTTCACTGCTTCTTTCTTGGCTTCCTGGTACCTTGCCGCATTCCAAGTTTTCTTTCATATCATATTCTCATTGACGGCCCCATGGTAGATACGCTTAAATCGTCAATGACAAACGTCACTCGATTGATTAGGGGGGTCGATTTGGGTTTCTACCACAAAGTACCTTGGAAAGGTAGTGTAAGCATGTATTGTATCCATACCTACACGTAGGCTACGTACGCTATTCAGGTACTTCCAGGGCAGACCCCGCCCGCCGAGGGCGAAATCGTCAACACCAGCTGGGGCACTTGTAGAACCTGGTTTCAGCAGAGTCTTGCATACTCGAACCTTGCATTTGCGCTATTCCCAGCCGTCATCTAGCCTGGTACAGTGAAGCAGTGAAGTGAAGGCCATGACAGTTGCCCTGCATTGCATTGCGTTACATTTCACAAACCCCATCCAACGTACACCGACAATTCCAAAGTTATCCATTCCTTTTTGTAGCCGTACGTGGGAATGTCAGACATTGTCAGATAATCATCCTGCTCCCGATCACTTGATCAGCCCGCCCTTTGGTCCTCTTTCCATAGAAGCACAACGGAAGCGTACAAGTGACTCTTTTCGACTTGGCCGCCCAAGTCAATGATCTTCGTTCCTGGCCAGCACCCACCCAATCAAGCTCTCGCCAGATCCTGCCTAGGTGCCGGCCGGGATCGACCTCGCAGAGGACGCTCAGAAAGACTCCGACGGCCAATAGGGGATTCTTGTTGCTTGACACCGGCAGCTCGGCTCACTGTGCTCCATCGTCCGCAAACGTGTTACACCCTTCTTCCTTGTAAAGAGCTACTGCGCGTCCCCGCCCTCCCGATCGTTGTTCTCACGTTGTCCATCATCCACTTTGGGCTACCTTGGCTTTTTTTTTCCTTCCCTCTCTTCTCTACATAGTAAAATCGGTCTCCCCTACCTGACCCGCTCTAGTAATCGTCGAGGCTTTTTGTCGCTAAGAATATCCTGTTTTAAGTGTCAGACTCGGTGACTCCCAGTCCTCCAGCCGCCTTCCTCCTTCTCCTCCCCTTCCTCTGACCCGCTCCGTACCAATCCTGAATTTGAATTTGTAAGAAATTTGTGATTAACATTACTCTCTCGACAAAACAAAATCCTTCTCATATTATTGCTCATTCATCGGATATCACCTACATACGTTTTAACTCGTGCCTAGAGATCTACATGCGTGTGCGTGTTGTCTGTCTCTACCTGACGCTCGAATTACCCCTGTCCAATATCTGCGGGTGCGATCTAAGCTTTATTTCGCTGCCTGCCGCTTCGCTGCCATTGGCTCAGCCCTAAGGACAGCCCCTAATTCAGGACTGTAATTTCGACTGAACCCCCAAAGTCCTTCGGGGGTCCCAAGCCTCAGTTGCTTCGTTTTTGAACACTTCATTCCTGGAGTTGTAACTTTTGGGCCACCATTGTTGCAATTGCTATAGGACCGATTCAGCCGGACTCTCGTGGAGTTTTGCGGCTACCACGGACAAATCTGCTTTTGTTGCTACCTCCTCTCGGCTTGGACGTGAACTTTCGTCTCCGCGCGCTCTGGCGCATCATGGAAGCTTGCTGGTAGTTGCGTTGGTACGTGTCGGAGGGGCATCGTCATTTCGAACCTTCTTGATGAGGCCCCATTTTCAGGACGGGGCCCCGCTGCTTGGTACCAAGTAGTATAACCCTCGAATATTACCCAGCCGGCCGTTACAAGCGAGGAAACCGCCAGCCAGCGTGTATGTGAAAGAGGCGATCGCTGCCGGGGTCTTCGTCATGTTTCTTCACTCGGGCGCCAGCCTCCACGGGCACGAGTACTCCAACAGACACCACGCAACCGCTGGACAGGCTGCTCCTCGGCGGAACTCACTGCTTCGATCTTCATTCAGCACGCCCGTAAACCGATCACCACCCTATGTAGACTCTTCTTCACCTTCTCCCAATTTTAGGACCACTACTAGCTCATCATTGAAGAAAACACGGCAGCGGCCCGTGTCGGACTATTCGCCAAACGCACCAGAGACTGTCGTTCGTTTTATGGAACCACTCGAGCATGTTGCTCATCCTCCAACAAATAACCCGGAAGCGATGCACGAGGATGGTGCATCAACCGTTGTCTCCGTATCGGACAGCGAGACGAGTCGGGCTGCCTCTTCCACGCGCCAGATTAGACGTCGCTCAGCGAGACTGCATACATCATATCTGCTCGCTCAAGCACCCCCAAGCTTAAATAAGAAGCAGCGCTTACTTCATATTCGCCCGAAACTGCTTTTACAACTGCAGCAGGTACCGGATGGTCAGCGGCCAAGGCCCGTGATCGACGTCTATCCCACGTCGGGCATTGTCAACACTGCCATTGCAGCGCATCTCTGCAAAAGGTTTCCCCGTCTATCGAGAATCAAGAGCGAAAAATCTATACAAGATGTGCTGTTATTCAAGAGCGAGGATTATACAGCGCCTGGATTTGATTCGGATAGTGATGGGGACGTTGAGAGCATAAAGGACCGTGACATTATTGCGATATTGAGCCCGCTGGCTGGACAGGACAAGGCGGAAATAGCTCTGCCTGATGGAACTGTTTGGGTGGCTGCTCCTCGTGTCATTGGCGGCGTCAAATCGTACGAGTTCACCACAGTGGACCAGCATGGCATCACGACAACGGCTCGGTGGGTGCGGAGGCCAATGAACGGTAAATCCCAACCGAGCACGAAACCGTCCACGCCACCAATGTCGCCTGGTGCATCCTCACACCCACTGTCACCCTCGACTGTATCATTTCCATCTCTATCAGACTCGCCGCCGCCGAACTACAAGTTTACTTTTAGCATTATCGATCCTAGCTCTCGTCGTCATCCTATCATGGCGACGCTACAGCCCTCGTCCCTGGATATTCAAGACTCATACACTACCGTTTCGCAATCTTCAAGCAAATATCCACCAACGTCGCCGCAGTTGGGCAGTCCCGATAGCTCCGACCCTGACCACCAGGCGACTACGGAGAGGACGACCCTGCCAGTGGAGGAGTGGCAGAAATGTTTCATTCAGATTTCGGCTCTATGGGTGGCCCTTCGACATGGCTGGGTGCCTCACTACAAGCCTGGTGATTTTATTCGCGAATCAACGGGTGCGGATTCACCAGTGGCAACAAAGACGCACAACCGAAGTCGTTCCTATAGCACAGGTACTGATGTCGGTCAGACGGGCGTATCGCGTGGATGCAGCGGGCGAAAACGCCACAGCCAGCCGCCGCCACCAAAGGGGGAGAGCCCTGCTATGCCTGGGTTTTTGCCTAGGAGAGCGACTTCGACAGGTGCTGCACGGATGCAAAAGATACGGGCCGAAAAGTTGTCAGACGCCACCGAGACTAATGAGACAACCATGGGATGGAAAAAAGGCAGACGCGTGTTGAGCTGTGACTGGAATGGAAGCTTTGCCAACCGACATTCCACCGCACTCGCCAACATTCAAGACGTGGAATTTGCTCAGAACACGCCTGAGCGAAGTGGGGACAAGATCGAGGCTGTATCATCAGCGAAACCAAGTATGATAACACCAAGCAAACGGCCAATGTCAGAATTGATTAATCATACACCGCACCCATCGTTCACCAACGAGAATCATACGGCGACGACGATCAATGGACAGCGACCCAATCCCTTGAAGTCATCACGAGGAGCAGTCACGGAGCAAGAAACAAAGACTCGAAAGCACCATAAATGGAAGAGCGTGACCAACTGGTTTACTAAGCTACGAGCCCGCTAGGAGGCGTGCTGCGCTCAGAAGCTCCTCTGCAGCACCGAGGGGCAAGAGACCAGAAGTCGTTAAATTGCGATACTCGACAGGCAAGCTCGCAAGGGCATGAATAGATGTTGGGCTTGACAAGGAGTTTTATATGGGAACACGGTATAGGGCACGCATCATTGTTGGAAATGGGTTTGGACTAGGCGGCGGCATTCAGGATCGGAGTTTAGCAGGAGTTATAAAATCCAGGGATCTCGAAAAGAGCGGATTGTCACATTTGCAATTGTATTATTATATCCAGTAGGCGGACGTGGGGTACTAGGCAAAGAGCTTCCAATTCAATAGAACAGCGCCGTGTCTACACGCGCAGATGTACAAGCCATGAACAGATATAACAGCTGTGTTTGGAGATCGCTCTCGAAGGCGTTTCTCACCATGACATCAAAGTCTCTGGCCAATGAATCAATTTAGCGATCAATTTTGCGCCTTTGACTCAACCACCCTGCACGAGGTTCTGCCGCCGCTATTCCCTCCCCGCATTAGATGCAACACTTAAGGGAACGATGCCGATTAGGCGGGCGCAGAGCCAATTGGAAAGCCAAAGGAAGTTTCTCCAACCAGTCAAATGGCGCTGGCACCAACTGAGAACCGGACTTCAGCCGAATCCGTATGGAGAATGTGCCTATCAACAGGGAATGAAGATGGACCTCGACCCTCTATTCTCGTATGCCAAGACCAAAAAGCTCGGGGAAGGGAGGCGGAGTTACGAAATCAGAATTGAGGATCGTGGCTCTCCGTCTTTCTGCTGACATCAATCAGGAGCCTGTGGAACTCGAGATATGTTTTAGGACGACTCATAAATCCTTTTCTCGCGTCCCTCCCTGGGTGTAAACAATCAGGCCAATACAACAACTTGCCGGGGCATTGGTTACTACACGCTCGATCGCTTCGTCTAGCACATCTGCACGCGGTATACGTTACCAGACAGCAAAGCACCAATACTGATCGTGAATTGGACCGCTGTGCATACACCATGGCTTTCTCATCCTCGTCGACCACGTCTGTGATCGAGATGGAGCCAATTCGGCTGGCACCGTCTCCAAAGACATTAGGACTTGCCTCTTCACCGCTTCCTACAGAATTGATGCGCCATCACGAGTCGACAGCGGCGGCAGCAACATCAGCAACGGCACCAACTGACGACGATGAACTTCCTCCGCCTAGTATTGCGACCAGTATGGTACAGCGCTGGAACTACCCCCGTAGAAACGTTCCAAAGGTTGCAGCATGTTTTTGGAGCTTTGTTGTAATGGGCGCCAATGATGCCGCATACGGTGTGAGTCCGCAAACAATCAGAGTTAGGGAGATTATTAAATGCTGACTATCATGCGAACAGGCATTAATTCACTATGTAGGTCTTGTCAATTGGTACAAAGTCACGAAGACTTTGAGGAATCTTGATGAGTATCAGAAAACTGACATATTGGAACATGCAGATCGAGGGTTACTACAACTTGACTTACCTGATTGTTTCAATGATCTTCCTTTCGCCATTCGTCGGTTACACCTCTTCGGCCGTGATGAATAACTGGATTCACCACAAATTTGGTCAAAGAGGCATCGCTGTCATTGCTCCCATCTCCCATCTAATCGCCTGTGAGCAATCTTTCTTGTCTTTCCTCTCTGCATCCGCCGAGAGAATCGTGCTGAATTGAGAATATGCTAGACCTGATTATCGCCTTGCACCCTCCCTATCCAGTGCTGGTCGTGGCCTTCATGATTGCTGGATACGGCAATGGCCTCGCCGACGCTGCATGGAATGCTTGGATTGGTGCCATGGCCAACGCAAACGAGATATTGGGCTTCCTACATGGTCTTTATGGCTTCGGTGCCGTAATAAGCCCTTTGGTTGCTACGAGTATGGTGACCAAGGCCAATCTAGAATGGGTAAGCACGTCCTCATGTCGTAAAATGTCTTAATTTGGTGAAGGGGAAGATGTAATAAAAAGCTAACACATTTTAACTTACAAGTATACGTTCTACTATGTGATGGTATGTCCATCGCTTTGGCTCATCCCTGTGCTGAAAAGGACTGAAGGGGCTTTGCACGGTGATATCAACAGAGTTCTAACCGTGTTTCTCAGGTATCTCTCGCCTGCCTAGAGCTCGTCACTTCGATAGCTGCATTCTGGAAGGACAATGCCGCCATGTATAAAGAGTCCATCACTAGCCACTCGGGTGAAACTCAGAAGGGATCGCTGCGGGATGCACTGATGAAGCAGCCTTCAGCACGCGTCACCTGGCTCTGCGCCTTGTTCCTTCTTGGCTATGTTGGCGTTGAAGTTGCTCTAGGAGGGTGGATTGTAGTTTTCAGTGAGTCACTTTTCAGAACCCCCCATGGGAATCTGCCCCCATTGCAAAAGTATCACCGAGTTGTCACCCACATGCAAAGCATTAGGCAATATGCTAATTATGTGTTCTTCCCCCTTGTTTTTAGTGATCCAGGTCCGACACGGTGAAGAGTTTGCCTCTGGTATGACGGCCACGGGATTCTGGCTCGGCCTCGCCATCGGGCGCTTGATTCTCGGCTTCGTGACCCCGAGGATAGGAGAGAAGCTGGCCATCACTGTGAGTGCGGCTTTTTTTTTTTTTTTTTTCGAACCGTTCAGGCCCAATACCTAGTAACTTCTATCATTGCGATGGTCATGCTGACAAGATCATACTTAAACCCAGATATATCTTCCCATTGCCATGGGACTGGAACTTCTCTTCTGGTTAGTTCCCCAGTTCGTTGTATCGGCAGTAGCAGTTGCACTCCAAGGGTTCTTCCTGGGCCCCCTTTTTCCGGCCGTTATCGTAGCCATGTCCAAGCTGCTCCCACGACATCTGCACGTCGGCGCCATTGGGTTCGCGGCTGCGTTTGGTGGGAGCGGCGCGGCCGTGCTGCCTTTTGCCGTCGGCGCCATTGCCCAGGCCAAGGGTGTGCAAGTCCTGCAGCCCATCATTCTGGCACTTCTCGGCGTCATTCTCATTCTTTGGTTGGGTCTGCCGCGTTTCGGAAAGAAGAAGGAGTAAAGGGGGGTAAGCTGGTAGTACACGGCATGGAAGGTGTGAATACGTGCACTGCAGAGCAGCAACTCTTGACAGATATCCCTGAACGTGGAGCAGAATGCTTGAACACCGGAAGGGTTCATCATACATAGACGCCTGAGGCTACAAACCCATAGGCAGACATGCCAATTAAAGTCTTTGTCCGTTATTTGTCCGTTATTCACGATAGCATTATAAATCACGTCGCACATGTGTTAGCTCCGAGAGGGCTGAGGGCCGAAGGCGCGAGCTACGGTAACGCAACTACGGGAGCAACGTCATTGTCAGCAAAGGCCATCGAGTTCCGGGTCCGCGTATTCTCCGAGTTCGTCCGTCGTGCCTATATTATTACAAGGACTCGGAACTATTTGAGTTTAAAGTTTCATATACCATCTCAAATACAACATTGGAAGCATCACAACCACTATACACTATCCGTTGCCGCCAGCCAAGATGTGGGGCCGTATACTGCTCACCATTGACAGCGTTGGTCTAATCGCTGGCTCGCTCAAGGCCGATTATTTCAGCGAAACGCACATGTTCAATCCCAACTGGGCACCTCACGCCAAGTATGTTTATTGAACCTATATATCTCTCGCGAAAGACGAAATTGATTCTCAAGTACCACATTGACTGGACTAACCTTATCACTATTCTTTAGATTTCACAATGCGCAGACCGTCGGCTTGGCTGTCACCCTGGGCCTGGCGACACTGTTCTACACCTGGCGGAAAGCACAGTCGCCACAGCTGCACCGGGAGTACATGAGAATAGCTGCACTACTGGGCTCTATATATTGGATCACGGGGTTGCTCAGCATCTTGCCCGAGGGCACAATGGGTGTTGACCCCGAGTTTGGCGGCCCGGCGTTCCCGCAGAAGTATGTCTTTACGCCGTTCCTCTTGTTTGGACTTGTTGGCGCTTGGCTGGAGTATTGAGACCGAGGCCGGGGAAGGGATATCTTCCTAGACATAAAACTTTGGGATGTATTACCACAGACTCGACCAGTTGGTTTTACTTGTGTTATCGCAGCTCTTTCTGTACAAGTATTTTTCAAAATTTTGAATTGAAACAGTTGTAAATCCTTATGATCACGAGGTTTCACTGCCCTTGAAATGTATTTCGGGGGCGTGGATCCAGTGCTAGAAGGTAATAGACAAGGATTACTGAGCAAGTCTTTGTATTGCCATAACAAGCCCGGCGAGCCAGGCAATCTACTGTTGACGCAACGGAATATGCCTCGGTTAGTGCGTGCACAATACGTACTCGGTAGTCCATAAGGTTCATAGCATCGCACAATGTATGAAGATGAGCTGGCCCGATGATGCCTGGGACCGCGTTGTACTTGATACCTGGCATATTTTGTCCGTGGTGTGAATCATTTTCGATATAAATCAACCGAGCCCGCATACATACAAATAGCACATTTGTTATTTCTCGCAGTTCGAACCATTCAACCCCAGCAATAGCGCCGATTCCCCGTCTTCGCTCCGTCAGGACCGGGAGCTGGTAAAAGCCGTGCTATACGTCAACAAGTACGCCAAGGTCAGCACGAGTCAAATATCATAGCCCGGTGCCTAGGAACTATTGCTAATCAAGTTCGTAGCTTGCCTTCTGATTGTCACAGGTATATGAGTGGCAGCTTTGGAATTCAACACTATGCAACAAGCCTGCAAATAAATCGCGAAAAGAGAGAGAAAAACAAAGTTCCATTGACACGCACAGCAGCCGGAAGTGCTCTGGCATCACCCCGAACTTGAGCTGTAATATATGAGACAGCGGTAGCATATTGACAGCCAACCTTTGGATTTCAGGCTGTCATCAGTTGGCTTAGGTGACGCACGCAGCCGCAGCCTGTTGGGTCGCTATCCTAGAGTGGCCCTGCATGCATGGTGCAGTTCAAGCTTGCAGCACGCTAAAGTTCAATCACTTCCGCTGAGTGAGGGGTCAAGAAGACAAAACCACAGTGAGCTATTCCCGGTGCAGTCTTTCCCCTAGTAATCATTACACACACACCTTAATCCAAGCCAATCGCCCACCTCTTTCTCTCCCTGGCGGATGGTTCAGTTCCAACGTCCATGCAACGCTGTCTGGAAGCAACAAGGCAACCTTTACAAAACCAGGGTGCTGAGCGCGTGATGCATACATAGATTTACCAAATGTGCACGTGGAAACAGCTCAAAAGAGAGAGAGAGGTAGAGAGTATAATTGAACTTTTCTTTGCTCGTTGATTTGTCAGGACCAAGCCCCTGGCCATAGATACTAACTGGAGACCTTTCTTTTAGTATAACTGCCCTCGCCTGGAGCCCACTACAGCCTACTCCGTTTTGCTGCTAAAACGCCCACCCGAGACCCCGTCCAGCCCTGAAAGACCTTGACTGATCGGAGCTCGAACCCTGGAAATTCTCGGCCCCGTCGCGAGCTGACAACATTGAATCAATTACGTCTGGACTGGGGTCCCCAAATTCGAGGGTCTCCTACTAGGTATGTACAGACACAGCTACCAACTCAAGCAAGGGACCTGCAACCTAACCCGTCTTCGTCACCACGGAAAGCACAAGGCTCTCCCATCTGACGCCCCATCCACCAGAGAGAGAGAGAGAACCCAGGGCCCCCAGAGCCGCACTCGACTTGCAGCCCACACCTTCCCATCGGATCGTTTCGTCTTTGGTCATCTGCTATCCGCTCTAGTTAGAGCTTTACCTTTGACCTTGACTCGCGGCACCTCGAAGGAGAGAAAAAGGTTGACACACATTGATACCCATTTACTCCCAAAGCTGCTATTTCGTTATTCAGGTATTGCTAGCAACTCCTCAGCTATCTGAGTTCTGCATTTTTGCCGCCACTAGCACGGGGCCTGTCTGGCGCTACACGAGCTTACAGCTTACCCTTCCCGCCCCCATTTAATGATCCACATATCTCGTGGCCAGGCCACTTAAGCATCAGTTGCAGTTGGAGCTCGAGAGCTGCTCCCATTCGAACCCGCTACCGATCCCCATACACAGTCAATAGTTGTGCAGTGCAGGGCGCAATGCCACGGAAGAGTACGACGGTGCACGAGATCACGAATTCAATCACGAAGTACGCTCCTACGACTTCACTTTACGACTCTTCTACCACTCGTCGATTTCCCTGAGCTATTGGCTCCCATCGACACAGCTCTGTCAACTTTCTCGGAACAATCATCGCGGGCGTGTGTTGACGAGGGTTGGCAGTTGATCAACAATCCGCGTAACGACATTGTTTCTCGCAACCTTCAGCATATCCCGAGTTTGATACCGCCTCAGTACTCCCCTTCGCGGCAATGGAGGATCACATCGATGACTCCGTAGGCGGTCCATCATTATCTGGGGCTGCCCAGTTCCTCAGCTCGTTTGCTGGCGGCGAAACAATATCAAGAGCCACGTCGCCCGGTGTACCATCCGCAGAAGATGCCAGCGATACTAGCAAACGCTACCGACCGAGAACGTTTTCGTACTTCGAGTTACTGCCATACCCCGTAGAAGAGGAGGCACAACGCGACGCCGCGCTCCAGGGCATCCTGAAGCAGCTCTATATTGCCATCAAGGCGGAAGACTTTTCCCCAGGTGCTACTCACTGGACAAGACAATTGCAATCATGGCTGAATCTAAAGTTTGATATGCCAAGGGAGCTGCGTGCGAACCTTGCGCAACTTTATTTCCACCTCTCGCTGGCCCCTGGCCTCGACGGCAGCACCGCCGATCGGTTCTCCAGGATGGTCTCCGTCCTGGCCAAGAGGAAGCACCTTCTGAAACCAATTCAGGATCTGACGCTGGATTGGAAGCCCATTTGGAAGGAGATCAAATCTCTAGTGCTTCCTGGCGAGGCACCAGCGCACCACTCTTCTAGAAGGAGAGCACTGAAGCACATGTGGAAGCTGTGCCTGCAGGCATCCATTTACTTTGATCCTCGTGAAAGACGGGCAATGCTGGACGAGATCTTGCCGTTCTTCAGTACTTCAGATCTACAAAATGCATACATTGTTGTTGGAGCACTCAATATATTGCTGCCAACGACGCCTTGCCCCCCTACGGAACCACAGTCGCAACCATCAGATTTTGTTCCCACCTTCTTCCACCTCTGGTCTCTCAATACCAGAAGCAAGGTTTTTGACAATGCTTTCCTCGATATCTTCTCGCGAATGGCAAGAGACTACCTATCGTGCCAGCATGTTCCTTTTTCGGAGCATGGTATTTACACTCGCGAGCAATCCGACCTGATATTCACTGCCATTCTACGCCTGACTGAGATTCCAGTGGGCCAGGCCAACTCGCCTTACACAAACTTGGACTATTCCTCCGGTTTGGGCCTCTTCCTGGAAAAGGATAAGAAAAAGTACCCCATATCCTATACCATCTCTCGTTTCATCGTCTCTTCTCTGTCTCCCATGTGCTTGGACAAGGAGAGCTCAATACTGAACAGCCTTGAAGGGTTGATGGAAGCTATCGATACATTCTTCCATCCGTCCAACCAAGGCGCTTGGACGCAGATGCTTGCACAGCTGACTTTCTATCTCACCGATATGTTTGTGTCAAGGTGGAATAAGGAGCAAAAGGGGGAACAAGACACTCCAGCAGACCGTCGTCTGACTGATGAGCTGAAGAAGCGCTTCGTGCTAAGTCTACGAGAAGTCACCTTTATGGGTTTGTTTGGAAAAAGTACCAAGATTACCAACATGTACTTTGGCTCTCTTCAGAATCTGACCTACCTTGAGCCTGATTTGATGCTACCCGGTGCTTTGCAGAGATTCTACCCCAGTTTGCAAGGATTGGTTGAAGTGCATCGAACCACTTCTAGTCTGTGTGGTCTGCAGATGATTGCAAACATTATGTCCAAGCAGAAGGGCTTCCGCTGCCACATTACTGCTCTTCTTGCCCTTGCGCTTCCAGGAATCGATGCCAACGACCTCAACAAGACACAATACACGCTCAACTTCATCCAAAGCGTTGCATACAGTATCCCCTTTGTAAACTTGACTCTGGAGAATTCAGGTATTCATGACACGACCCTCGCCATGCAATGGGTGCAGGGTGAAATGGAACGCATGGAACACGAGGGACAGGAAGTCAAGATTGACTACCACAGCGAGTTGTCGGACGAAGATGAGGCAAACATTGTTCGCTCATCCACCGCTGGCTTTGGCGAATTCGTCATTGCACTGCTTGGCAAGGTCTTCACGCTACTTGAAAATCTGCCCGACTCCTCATATCTCCGAACTGGGTCTCCAGAAGATAACATCATCAACACCCTTCCTGCAGCGTTGACGCCGTTGTTCGCCTCATTGTCACCTGAGCTCTTTGATATTGCTCTGGACAAACTATCAACGTTTGTTTCGACACACGTCGTACACCAAGCTCGCGACAGTATGGCCTGGATTTGCAATGCTCTGTGCAAGGTTAATCCGGAAAAGACATTGAAAGTGTTCCTTCCCATGTTGATCGTCAATATTCGCAATGAGATTGACTACAACGGTGCAGCGTCTGATCGCAGTAACGGCACTGAAGTCCTCCCACGAGACCGAGCACTAGTATGGCATGTCAGCATTTTGAGTATGTGCGTTGTACACGTAGGTGGCGAGGTCCTCAAGTACAAGAAGCAACTATTCGAAGTTGCTCAGTACATGCAAGAGAAATGCCGAGGCTTGCCAACTCTTCACATAAGCAACTTCATTCATCACTTACTCCTCAACCTGACCCATACGTACCCCATTGACAATGCCCTATACGAGCCTGATGTCGTCAAGAGAGGACTGGACGTGGACGACTGGGGTCGCGGGACCGCTCCCGCCGACCTCACAATCAAATGGCATCGAGCTACTCCTGAAGAAATTCAGTTCGCCGTCGAGGTATTCCAGGCTCAGGCTGAGGGTGCCATGCAGAGACTTGAATCGTTGATGAGCGACGACCCGCCGGTTAGTCGAAGTGGCAAGAACAAGGAGTGGTCGGATGAGGTTTCGCGTCAACTCAGCCAGATACGGCTTGTCATTTCAGGCATTGCTACGTTGTTTGACCCGAAACGTGCTTCTGGCGAGCTCAACGGTCACGTCAATGGCGACGAAGAGATGAGGGATGCTGAGGAAGAGGAAGATCCTCTGGCCGAGGTCGGCGAGGACGACGAAACACGCCCTCAATACAAATACCAGAGTGGATATCTGCTCAGCCCGGCAGATCCCCTCTATATCCGCATCCACGATGTCCGCGACAACATCGGACACCTGCTTTCTCGTATACACTCATTCCTCAACTCACACCAAGCAGATGATGTGGCATGCTTCACTGCCCTCTACTCCACATACAGAATGTGGATCACCGACGTGGGCTTTGAGCGGTCTGCGCATCCTCTTGAACGCCTGGTGAGGTTGTACAAGGCAGACGTTGGCCCTTTCAAGATCAGTGCTCTCCGCAAGGCTTACCCACGACCCTTGCTTATAAAACGAGCTGATGCCTATCACCTCCAAAGGGTGAAGCACAATGCCTCTGTCAGAAACAAAAGCGAGCTTGACATACGACTCCTCTTGGACCTGGCCGAGTCGTGCATCTCACCATATGCCGACGTGCGCAAGGTCGCGCAGAGCGCTCAAGATGCGTCACTCAAGGTTCTCATTGGTGGTAGGCCCCTCGTGATCCCCGTGATACTAGAGAGGTTTCGCAAAGCTTTGGCCGAAGTCGACCATGACCGCATCAAGGGCTCCATGTATACGCTCTTCTCCACGAGTTTGTTGAAGACATTGATCAGGGACTGGAGGTTCGCCCCGGATCTCATGCGCTTGTACATTCAGGCCGCTGGGGTGGACAAGACTTCGATTCAGCACCTTGGCTCGAGCGCGCTCTACCACTTGATAGAGTTTGGCAAGCGTTTTGAGCTCATGGTTCTGGTCGATGAGGCTTTGGTCGATTTTATCCGACCATCCGAAGATTGCTCGCAGGTAATCCAGTCGCGCCACAACTTCATCCTTGAACGCAGGAAGAAGGTTGAAGCCAAGAAGGCCGAGCTGGGCATCGAATTGGTCAGGATGGCCAAGAACGCGCATTGGAAAACGGCCAGCAGATGTGCCATCTTCTCAACAAATCTCTGCTTGCGATTTGACTCTGTTGCGCCAGCAGAGTTTATTGAGCTGGCGGTCACAGGCGCCAACGATCCGCACCCCGGCCTTCGTACAGGGTACATTACGGCGTTCTCAAACATATTCACCGTGATCGACCAGCGGGCAGTCTACAATCACTCTTACCGCGACTACCTTGAGGAGAAGGAGAAAGACTCTAACAAGGTCGTGGTGGATGTTCCACGAGGTGACGCGGCGTACACTGAGAGATTCCTCGACCAGTTCACACATCCCGAAAACGCCGAATACTACGTGGATACCGATCATGTTGGCTGGCTCGTTTGGGGCAAGCAATTCAATGCTTCCAGAGCGAAACCGACTCGATTTGATGATTATGATGAAGTCGAGAAGAGAGTTCGCAAGCAGATTGGTGATATGCTCGACAGAGAATGGCTCAAGAAGTGTTTTGGTTATCTCAAGCAGGAACCTCGTGACACTTCGGCCGATAGATTCAGAAGTCAAAACGTCATCCTTTTGATGCACGTTTTTGACCTCATGAACTACGGACAGACCGTGTTGACATTTGAGGACGTCAAGGAGCTCACGATGGAGCTGTACGGAGACGGCTCTGACAAGCATCAACACCGGGCGACAGCAGAAATCATCGGCGCTCTCCTGGCTGGCTCTGCTGATGACCCAATCGAGATGCGTGACCAGGCATGGGGCTTTGCCCAGCCTCTAATGCTCAAGATCTTTGCCGACAGTCTCACGCCAGAGAACTTGAGCTACTGGAGCACTTGCTTGCACTTCATCATTGATACCAAAGACCCTCGCCGTGCACATGAGCTGGTAGAAAGCCTCAGCTCATTCCGACTCGACATGACCTCAAATGCAGCCTTCAAGGAATCCTCCAAGGTCCTCCTCTTGGAGATCCTCATTAACGACTGTGGATGGCATTTCCGCCGAGAGAAGCCGATCCTGGATGACTTTCTTGCTCATATTGATCACCCCTACAAATCCGTGCGGGAATCCATTGGTAGGGTCATTGCAACCATCTATCGGACGCGGTATCATGAATCGTTTGAGAATGTGTCGACACTTCTCGAAAAGAACAAGGCAGAGTCGGCAATCGGAGTTCGGCCTTACCAACCTACGGAAGAATTCTCGTCGACAATCAAGGATGTATTTGGTCGCCTCGAGAAGTGGAGACACGAGCGCGAACCCGGCCAGCAAACACCTTCATCGTACACATCTGGCTCAAAGACCGTTTTGACATGGCTAGACAGCACATTGTCATCCCAGGAGTGTACACAGCTGGTGTCATTCTTCCCAGAGCCCTTTATGGACCAGCTGCTCCATATGATGGACGTGAAGGAGGACCCGGAGTTGATGCGATTGGCATATCATGTGTATCGCCATCTTCCCAACATCCCGTTCCGCTCTGGCGAAGATGATGCCTTCATCAACGCTCTGATCCGCATCGGGAAGGGTGCTACTTCTTGGCATCAGCGTCTACGCGCTCTCGTCAATATGCAAGTGATTTACTTTCGACGTTTGTTCTTGTCGCGTCCTGCACAGCGCGAGTTACTCTTTGATGGTGTTGGCGACATGCTTGCAGATTCACAGCTCGAGGTCCGTACCGTGGCTGGGGCTACTCTTGCAGGAATGATCCGGTGTTCGCCCGCGGCGATTCGTAACCCCATTATAGAGACATTGAAGAAGCGATTTACGGCGCAGCTAGACAAGAATCCCATGCCCAAGAAGAAACTGCCGGGGACAGATACCCCAGTCAATATGACACAGCAGATTGTCCGAAGACACGCTGCTGTGCTCGGACTGGGATCGCTCATTGAGGCGTTCCCGTACGCAACACCACCGCCCGCATGGATGCCTGAAGTGCTTGCTCTCCTCGCCAGAAGAGCAGCCAGTGACCCTGGTATTGTGGGCAAGGCGACAAAGAGCATTCTGAGTGAATTCAAGAAGACGAGACAGGACAGCTGGGGAGTTGACCAAAAGGTAAGTCGTGCAGATATCTGACATTCAACTCTTGTTGCAAGGACTAACATGAATGTAAAGTACTTTACCTCTGAACAGCTGGAGGATCTGGAGGGTGTGTTATGGAAGAGCTATTTTGCATAAGCAGGTGGGCGCATTCGCATGTTTTTGGCAAAGAACTGCATATTACAGCTCAAGGTATTCAACATGATGAGGCTCAAGAGTAGCCCTACCAGTGTTTGTGGAGGAGGGTACAGCAGTTGGTCTGCATCCATCCCGACCAAGGCTTATCAATGGCAGTATGATATTGGGTAATGAACAGTCTGCATAGATAAGTCAGTGACTACAAGCCAGTTTTAGAAGGTCCTGGATTTGGATGGTGTGCCTCGTTATTAGACGGATTAAGTGTGTGAACAGGCGTAGGCGTTTGTAGTATATAATCTAGTCGTGATTGTACAACCTGGTGTTTTGGAACGTGTCTGGGTGTCTTTATTGAAAGAATAATCAAAGCGTCAAGTACATAAAAAACTAGGCACATGCTCTGTGATTATCAGATCTTGACATGGGTACATTTGCGTAATTTCGATTGCCGTGCAATCTTCAGTCACTAAATTTTGGTTTATTACTTGATACGGAACAAGACACGACTCATTATACACTCCATTTCTCGTAATCGGGAAAATACTGGTCCTGAATCCGCTGGGCGTAGTCGAGAATGACAGGAAATGCCCTAACGACGCGTTGAGAGTCGGGCGCGGCGGTACTGATGAGAACTGAGACAATAAAGGCAAAGAGCGTGGCATCGGCCTCTGTGGGCTGATCCCGACCCAGAACCCAGAATGGTGGCGGCGGCGGCAGCTGCTGATCGGCTTGCGCCCCAACAGTGGACGCCGTACTCGCAGATTGGGCCTGCTGCTGCTGCTGCTGCTGCCGGCGGGCCTCGAGCAGCAGCGCATTGATGCTCTCCCATATCTCGTACCGAAACGCGGCAATCTCTTGGCCGCTGTACCGTCCAGTGCCTTGGCCGTGCAGCGTCGACAGCTGGCCGCGGTAGATGATTAGACCGACGACGATGCGGACGGGATAGGGAATAGCACCCAAGGCGTGGTCGCGCATAGTGTAGTAATTCAGAATCCATCTCTCCCACATCTAGTGTTGGGGTGGGGAAATTAGTTTATACCATCGAGTACCCAAGGTACGTTTTAGTTGTGATTCCTTACATGATAAAAGTAGAGTTTATCCTCGAGCAGTGCCCTCAATGCCATGTCCTTGGCGCCATCGGTGCTAGACAGGGCAGCATTGAGGTCGGGCAGCTCGCCCCATTGTACCAAGGTTTTGATAATGAGGGTCGAGTCGGCCAACTGTTGCACCTCTTCGTAATCGTCTGCTGCTGGGCCGCCGTCGAGGCTTTTGTTTTGTTTGCACTCGACATAGGGAATCTTGCCCTTGGGGCCCGTCTTGGGCGAACCCACATCGACGGCGTATTTGATGCCGGCAAAGCGCATGCGCGCCTCGAGCTTGATGACAAAAGGCGACCAGACATGTTTGCCAAAGTCTTTCCAGCCGCGAAAGATGGTAATGCTCGGCTTATTGTCACTGGTAGACATGATGGATGCCACTTGTTTTTGGGAAGGAATCTTGGGTGGGTTTAGTCAAGGCTGCTTTTGCATATCAGGGACAAAGAAAATCAAAACAAATAGATCATTTGCAATTTCAAAGAGTATATTTGAAAGTACCATAAAAATACTAGAATAGCTCTGCCTCCCTCCCGCTCGCTCATAATCGCACTTTTCCAAAAGTGCGAGAGAAGCGGCGCATTAATGTCGGTGGGTGCCTGGTGCCTTGCTAGCGACCGGATCCCAAATTCTGCAGGATGCGGACAATAACACGACCTCTGCGGCGCCGTGGCACGAAATAAAATAAACGGCAAATGACTCAACCATGATCCCGAGTTGGAGGATAAACCAGATTATAATTAAAAAGGGAATAAATAACTAAACATGACCAAAAAATGGCAAAAAGTGAATTGCTCAGCCACAGGATTGAACTGAGGACCTTCGCATAACTTGATATTCTTGGTTAGAGAATATTAGTACGACGCTCTAACCAACTGAGCTAGCCGAGCACTTGTTTTTGGATCATCTTATTGCATTCTATGTAAGTTGCACGAATTAGCGCTTCTCCCTAAAGCTCCACTGAATGGGTGGCATTGGAACCTGTCCAATTGTATTGTGAGTAGACTTATTCAAATGTCCAACAGGTCGCAACCTCCTGAAACCATTACAATTCTAAAATAACGTGGTCTTTGTCTCCCAGAAGGGGTCCAAATCTAATAAGAGTCTACACTTTTGCAAATTCCCCCTTTGTGGTCTTTGGTTTGAGTTGTGGATGTGCAAGTCCAAACTCCAAGAGCAAGATAATCAAAAGCTGTTGTTAATTTTGTCACACGCAAAGAATCCCCTAAACATTCTGCTTCCAAAGTGATTACCATATATGTCAAGTATATAAGAGTACAATATTCGATTTTGTGAAATAGCACCAAGGAAAAGCAGGTACCACTGTGCGTAATTGCATATGCACAGACTAGGCGTATACTAGCGCCAATATCAACCACGACCATTCAGCAAGCCCAAGAAACACGAAGATTCTCACCCAAAGACGCAAAAGACACAAGGACAATTAAAAATAAAAGAGATATTGTCTGTGAAGGGCAAAAATGAGCGACGTTGGCCTGATTCGAACAGACGCTTCCGAAGAAACAAGATAGGATGATATAGGATCAATTCTAGTCTTGCGCATTAGACCACTCTGCCACAACGCCTTGTGGTGATTGTTGAAGATAAGTGGTGTAATCAAAACTATACCGCCTTGAGCCTGGAGGGGGCCACATATAAATGCAGCCCCACCCTAGAAATATCCACCAAGCACAGTATGCACTGAGCGGGAAATGTTGGAAAGAAAAACATGTTATGCGATTGATTATATAAGATTAATAATTTTGAATGCTTGGTATTATTGATGCAGCAGTATCAAGTTGCTACCTGAAATAATGTCGTTCTCTTCGGCAAACAATGCAACTTCTCGCTGGATCTGAACTAGAGATACCTTTCGTCTGCCCATTCTTGCACATCTCGAATATCGAGCCGCGAAACAATTGTCATAGTATTTCATATAGTACTTCATATATTACTCAAATTTTCCATTAGAGCTCAAAGAAGAAAATTGTATTTCATTTGTATATGATCTATCCCCCAGTCACTTAAAATTGGCTGCATAGAATATGAGTATGGGACGCTATAGTAACGACAGTCTATAAAGAAATACCAAATATCCAGAGTGAAAAAAAAAAATGAAAGAAACAAAGGGAAAAGGAGAAAGACAAAAAAAAAAAAAAAAAAAGACATAAGAAGAGTGAGGGAGAAGCAGAGAAAACTATAAGCTGAATGTCAAATCAAAACAAACCACGTCTCTCGTCCAGCTCCCAAAATGGACGTCGAGATCCTAACATAGTCTCCTCCACTTAGCGTCTAGCTGAAACCCGACATTGTCAGCATTTATACATATTTAAATCTTGCCAAAAGATAAAAGAGATGAACCAACCTCCAAACTGAGTACCAACTTGTCTGAGATCATGCGCATGGCTAGACTTGGATCGGTCATGGCCTTGACGGTTCCCAGAGTCTCCGTTCACATTGGACGACGTCTTGTGGTCCGAAGATTTCCCCTTTGGTGACTGTCCCTTCTTTCCAGAGGAACTGTTGGAGCCCCAAGTGGCACTAGAAAGCAAAGATGGATTAGTTGAAGAGCTTCTGTAGATTATGTGGTTTGCGCAACAAATGGTATGACGTGGAAACGTGTTCAAAACACCTGGATGTTTGTAGGGACAAAAGATTGCACTAAAGGAATCGTGGCAATGATGCGGGTTACTCACGTGGTCGAAGATATGCTACCGTCGTTTGGCATGTCAAATATTGAAGTAAAACTTCTAGAGGAGTGTGTTTCTCATCAATTATCAGATAAAATGGATCAATGTCGGTCTGTTCCTCCGTCGATTGCTCTTTAGTCGTGTTTTGTTACTGTTCAAGATGCTTCTTGAGCCAGCGACCGTGTCCCCTCTTTATACAAGTCAGTCATGCCTTGATCAAAGACTGACGTAGTTCAGACAAGACTCGATTCACCCATGGTTGCCTCGTTCTGGGATCAGGCCCCGGAGACTCACGATGTCCACGACTATACTCTTTTGGTGTTGTCCGGGCTACTCTCACGGCTTCAATGGTCGGGATTGCAACCATGGTCGCTCGCAATCACCCCAGATCGAATGGTTTTGACCCCCTCTTACGCTGGCGACACCCATAGCGCTCAGACTGCTTGTTGGTTGGGCATGCGAATTGCCGTTGATCCAGAGAAGTCATAACAGCGCCAACATCATCCCCCCCGGAAGGCAGCATCAACAAAAGTCCCAACCCCACGTGGTGCTCCTTTCTGGCGCTCTTTTCTTTACCATGTGCGGATGGCATGAATGGGTTTGCACTCTTTCTGGCTGCGAGCTGTTGATGAGATTCATGTTGTTGAAAAATGATCGGCCCGGCTTGCGAATCAGTTGTAGGAACATCAGGGGTCTCCTGCAAGCTGCCGTGCCAAGAAACAGCGTTTCGCAACCCATGTCTGCGATATAGAAGAAATTATTGCCGGGAAGTCGACAAATGTCCTTGACAAGTAGCAGCCCAGCAGAGAGACAGAGGCTTATGACAACCCGGTTCCTCTCGAAATTGACCACGTTTACATGAGTCGCTGGTCGTGTTACCCATGGGCCGGTAGGTCCGTCCTTCCCTTCGGCCGATTCACCGACAGTGTGGCTCGACCTCTGCGATCAACCATCGGAGGGAGGTCGGCACCGGATACGCTCTCTCGTGCCCAACTGTTCCCGCGCGAGAAGTTGCTGCTATTTTTCCTTCTTTATCGCAAGCAAAACCCATGCCACAATGTGTGCTGACCGTGACAGAAGCGAGCGATCATTGCCTTTGAGTTTTCTTTGCCGAAACGTGCCAGTCATGCGATGCACCTATCCGACACGCCAGGATTCCCCAAAACCTCCCGCCAGAGCTGGGTCGCCGGGGCCATTGTCGGGTAGTTGCATCGGAACGTCGCACGCCACACCTTGAGCGCATATCCGAGTCCCTATGTATTTGGTTCGGAGCAAGATCCCTGGCCCATATCATTTGCTCGGGTGTTCGTGTCGTGCGACCGAGATAATGGACGAGATACTGGAATGTCCTCTGACGAAAATGGCAGAGCACAACCATTTATGGATAAATGTGAGCACGCAAGATGAACAACCTCACCCATCTGCCTGCGCAGTGCAGCAGACAACAACAAGACTTGCAGTGCTGGGTTAGGTAAGAAGTCTACCTGGGTATAGGATTGTTCAGCCAGGGATGCCGAATCCGGTGCTGCCGATACCAAACTCATAATTCAATGGTTCAGGCTCTCTATTGGCCAGGCAGCATTCTCCGATCAAGACTCTCTCAGCCATCGTCTCACACCGGTCAAAACAAATGGCCATTGATGCGCATATCCATCCACCTTGATTAACAAGATGATATACATGGTCCGCAGGGGGCCTTTCGCATCATGAATCGGCTTTGACTCGGCATGAAAATGCCAGCTCCAAGGTCGATCTTTGTCTCCAGTTGGAGGGGCTGGGGGTCAGAAGGAAGAAGATCTAATCATCAGTCAGCACGATTCTGGGGTTTCGAGGCTGTCGACATACTCAAATGATCAACCCTGGAAAGACGTGGATCACAAGCTTTCTCCGGAGACCCCGACAAAGGACCAGGAATCCCGAACATATTGACATGCTTGTTCCGGAAATTCATCACTTTTGTGCTACTTTACCGACTGCCGCCCAATCTTTGGCTCAGAGCGAACCGGTGACGAATGACGCTTAACGTCGGGTTTTGAGAGCAAAAACGGCATTCCGCTTTGGGCGCAACCATTCTTTTATTTAGTTGGCATCGAACTCGTCGATTCCCTTGAAGGTGCGTGGCTAAGGAATATGGTAGGTGCGAGTCCGATGGCATGCCGCATGTCGACTCCCATCATTCCCGTGGCTTCGAATACATTTGGTGGAACATTGCAAGGTTCCATTGCACTTCGGTAGATGGAATGAAATGTATCGGTATGTCGTCGTATGTACTCTGTACATCATGGCAGAACATGGCATCTGGCAGTTGTCGTTAAGCCACGACTTTGGACCTTGGGGGAATGGAACGTCATTGATGCCTGAAGAAGGACTTCCGAAGCAAGTCATATTGATCTCATGCCAGTCTCGTTGCCATAATCGCAGCCTTGTTTTTCTTTTTCTTCTTTTTCTTCAGGCGCCCGGGTTCTCGTACCGTCTCTGGGCATTTGCCAGTCGACCTAGGGAAACCCTAATGGGTAAAGTCATTCTTTCCCCCAAGGCTTGACAAGTTTCTCTCAAATAGGGATTCCGACTTTGCACTCTCATCCTGAGGCACTGGATTCGTTTCTGATGGCATCTTCTGCATCCGGTCTTGTACAACTGTTGGTTTTGAGGACTTCCTGGACATATGGAGTTCTTTTGGATAGGAGGGCTGGATCTTGCTGTCTTGATATTACTCGTCTTTCTCCGTTTCAAGATTCCACCTTCTGTCGTGAGCCCAGCTTTGGATAGCGAAATCTTGGAGAGAAGCTTCTTCTGCCTTTCCGCTTATTTCTTTTCGATATTCACTCTTGCCACTTCTCTCCTGGCTACTGTGTCGCGTCATTTCATAATTGGCATGGACATTCGTCCCTGCTCTCATGATGGCAACATCAATAATAGACTTTCGTAGGCTAGGCACGCACACCTTTGACCCTCGACCGAACATCCACCAAGTTAGGTTTGTGAGCTATCAGGGATAAACCTTGGCTTCAAATCTTTCTGAATGCAATGTGCAATTCTCGGAAAATCCGGCCAGTGGAAATATGCAGGAACACGCCTTATGACAAAGCTTACATCATAAGGTGCCGAGATGAAGTGGTCTATGGTAAAAACGCTTACCTATCCGTATAAGCCGGGGTAAAAGCACTGCGAGTGCTATTCCAAGGGTCTGTTCGACCTTCATACCGGATCGCCATCTTCACCATGTGTGACCTTGTCACTATTCTCCTAGCTGATGATGAGCCCCAATCAGGATGCTTGAAAATCCATTCAATTTTCTTCTCTCCTTTGGTACTTTCAGTAACCTGCGCTCTTGAGCTGGAAAGGTCTTAGGTAATAGAATGAATATCTTCAATACTTGGATCTTCGCCACCACTGAGCATCATTTACGTGACTCAGTCTCGAGGCTGTATCTCATACCTAGTCATTCAAGGAAAGGGTGTGTACCATTGTTCATCTACCATCATAATGTTCTGTTTGCGGGCCTGAATGGAAACCTCGATAGGAGTCGGGCTGGGAGTAGCTGCAGCATTTTACATAAAGCAGGTAATCATCAGAGTCTCTTTGCAGGTACGAACGTGAAATGTAAGTGCTTAAGGCGTCAGGGGAGCAGCAAACTAGCTCGCTTTTGTTGCTTCAATGGCAGCAAGAGCGTGACGGTGAATGAAGTGGATTTAAGGTTGTTTTCACCAGGCCATACGCGTTGAGAGTGTCGAGAGTGGTCACTTTTGAGATAGTACCTCAATCCTCTTTCGCGATCTTCTCGAGGTACAGCGCGCAGGAATGATCTCGGTATTTCTCCTCAAGTCAGAATGAGCGCCGAAATGTGCTTGGCGGGCCACTGTTCTGTTGTATCGCCGCTTTACGTGCAGATTGATGCCTCCGATGCTAAAATTGGTACAAAACATACCAGACACCGAATCAGTCTTGAAAGTCCTTGGATTGCCACCACAAAAAAGGTTGAGTTGCCCGCTGACTTTGCGACCAAGCGGCTATCACCCAGAATCGGTAAATGTTGATATTCAACAATGACCTCCAAGGTCTTCTCGGAACCTAGAATTTTCAAAGTCGTTGAATATGCATAGATGTCGCACATACTAGCACCTTGAAAGGCCCTTTCCATCTTGGATGTCCGTCAACACCGACCTCTCTACCTTCCTTTTGAACAAACTCCAATTTGAAAAGTTCTTTCCTCGTTCTTAAGCTCTCCTTTCCACCTAGATTTTCCTTTGCTTTTCCACCTCTTTTGTCACTTTTTCACTTCCCATATCTTCTCCCCTTTTATCCACTCTTGCTCGCAAATGCACTCCTCCCTCTGTATATATGCTTCTCCCCTCTACACCATCATCCACCTTTGCCTCGTTTATCACATCTTTCATCTCTTTATCCTCTCCGCTTCCCTTATTTCATTTTATATCTCGCATTTTGCCCCATTTTAGTCTTACTTTCTTGGGGTTTTCTCCTTTCATTCACTATCTATCTTCCATATTACTTCCTTTCGTTACCATGACCGAAAATCACAATACCAACTGCTCGAAGCCTCCAAGCAAAGTAATGGCAGCAGTGCTCGAAGGAACCCTGCCATTGAAATATGTGACGAATTCAGCAGAAGATGGAGCCCTAAACAAAGCGGCGTCGATAGAGCTCAAGCGATTCTTAAAGAGGGCGCCGCCAATGCATAATAGTCGAGCTTTTATCGAAGAAAATCTTGCCCAATTTTCTCTTTCAAATTCTACTCTAGGCCCAGAAATTAGCGTAAAAAAAGAGAACAAAAAGTTTGGCATTACAGCTGTCGTGGAACTTGGTAGAGGGCACTTACCCATGGCTGGGGAACACAAGTCGAACATTCCACCTCATCCACCACAAGCCGAAGCACACCATGCAGTCCAAGAGCCGACACCTGCGCTGCCAGTCGCACTAGAAGCAATGCCACCAGAATCTTTATTCGGAGTGCTGCCTACCACCGCTCCCGACGACGTTGATGATACTTCGGGCTCGGCCTCTCCTGCGAGTTCGTCCTCATCGGGCGAATCTGGGACTTGGCCAGATGAGGCTTACCAAAATTCAAGTTCAGGGCCATTCAATGGACATATGGGACCTGCAAATGGTGAGTGCATTCCGACTTTTAACTCTGCCGATCTTTCTTAACAAGGTCAATAGGACAAGAAAAGGCCAACCCTCCTCGACGCAATAGCCCTTTGAGACCTGAGTTAGGTAACTTGAACCGCATGAGACGCATACGACGGACCAGCTCTCACGATTCAAGGAGATCGGGGTTAATACAATCGTCTCTAGAAACCATAGACGAAAGGTCGGAGATAACGGCCATGGTATCTAACCCTCCGTTGGTGGCGGCCAGGGCATCGACTGCAGATCCAGATGCACAGGGGATCTCAAAAACATCTTCCACTGGGGGGCATCACTCGACCATGAGCGCGCCGAATTCGACGACCGACCACTGCTCGCAGCCGGACTCCACAGAGGGTGAAATATTCCAAAAGACCGTCGACATGTCCACCAAGCTGGTAGTGAACACCAATCATACCCAAGGGACAACATTAACCTCGGAAACGTCTTTGATGGTTCGGGCCGAGACTGCGCCAGCGATAGAGCAGGGGGAGACAAATAGCATGGAGTTTGATAACTCTGGCAGAGGCAGACCACGCCGACTCTTCTTACCCCGAGTGTGCCGATTTCTCTATTATCAAGCAGCTGCGAATGCAAGGAATACGTGTAACAAGGTCAAGAGATTTTTCAGAAGAGACAAACCTAGATAAGTGAGCCGGGTCTCCTACATTACGGCTTCATGTCCTACTATAGATCTACCTATTTAGAAAGGCTTATCCGCCCTCCATAGTTTCTCATGATACTCAGTCAATTAATGAATCCTTTATCCATGACCTCATTCTATCTTGACGATAAGACATCTTGCGGTGTACCTTGGAACTACTTCGACCATGGCGACAAACCGCCAGGCCATATACGCAAAGATAGGAGTTTCACACCCAGCTCAGGCTAGTGTAGATATGTATGCGCGTGTACAACATTGACACAGTTCTCAACTCAACCATTCCATTGTGGACGGAATTCGCTCTCATTGCTCGACTTGACTCGGATATTCGGGATAGGGTCTAGTCGAAACTGCATTGGCCCATGTCACTAGACGCATGGAAAGCTCAAACACATGGCATTGTCGCGGCGTCTCGTGGCCATGGTATCACAGACTCGAACTTCTTTTTGTCCCACGATATCCCTTCAGCGAGAAATTTGTCGTATACGGTTTTGGCGATTACCAGGTTGGATATATCTTGTTGATTGGTCCACCTCGACCACGACTCTTCCGTGTCTATCGCTTGTAGGTGCGTTGCGTGGGCTGTTGTGCTCGAGACAGCATGCAATCCCACAGAATGCTGTCAGGCGAATAGTTGGCACAATCCATCTCGAAATGGCTGTATTGCCGTCGAGTCTTGTTATGCCGACCACCGGCCCCCTCTGCTACTAGAGGTAGAGTGGCTAGAGTACGCTTCTGACGAGGCAGATGCAGCGGCCATCTTTTCGGATTCCTCGTCGGCTAATCGGTCCTTCTCAGCCTGCTCTTCTGCCTCGAGCAAGAGCCGGTCCCAGCATTCCGAACACATTCCATCGTTCCAGAGGGTGACTGCGGGCACAGAATAGTTTCAAATGTCAGTCCAGCGAGATCTTTGTGTGTATGTGTGTGTTCATAGGGGTCCCGCCACTTCTTTGCCATACTAGTCGAAAATAGAAAACCGGAAAGAGAAAAAAAAAAAAAAGACTTGATCTCTCAGATCGGACGTCTTGGAAGAGTGCCAGGATCGAGACGTACCCAACTTGTCCTTTTCTCCGCCGGGTCCGAAGCAGGTCTTGAAAAGACCAGCGCATGTATCCACCTTCAACAAGCCCCAGCAGTCGCATCCTTTCCAGCGTTGATACAACTCTTTGCACATACTGGTGACGGATGGTGCATGAAACAAGGCGATAACTGGGTGGCTATAGCGGTGGCGTTTTCTTTTCGTTGGTTCTTTGCACGTGTTGTCATTGATCAGCCAACGGAGTCGTCGGTAGAAATGTAGCCCTTGACCTGTGTGAATATACCTCGCAAAAGTCCTACCAAATTTGTATTTTTCTTTCGAGTTTGTTCAATGATGAAAGATGCTTCGGAGCAGTGATATACTGGCTGTCTAGTAACAGCGCTGACGATATTTGCTCCTCGATCGAAGAGTTGACCTCAAGGCATGAGGAATAAAGATTGCACGGATGAATGATTTCCTTTCCTGGCTGGGCGACACAGAGATCTGAAATGACTTTGCAATGGCAACTCAGCCAACCTTGCTGCTCTCCTTTGCCAGTAATAAAATAAGTAGACGCCTGCCGAAGCAGGCGATGAGTGCCGCGTGTATGAGCTGTTCTTGGAGTGCAAAAAGAGTGAGTATAGAAGCAAAAGAAAGAGAAAGAAAAACAAATTTGATTAATTTGGTTCCCGAGAGGCCCAAAAGAACGGCAAAAGTCCCCGGTCGTGCAACATGAGTTGTTTAATTTTACTTTATTCTTATTTCATTATTTTTCCGCTCTTCAAAGTGCCTGGGAACTCGTTTATTTTTTTTTCCCTTGACCGGGGGTCAAGAATCAGGGTAGCGGGGTGAGAATTCGACTTGGTTTATAATAAAATTGAACATGATCTTGGTTTGGCATCTCGACCCATTTAGAGACGAATCTTATTTCGCTCACCCCCATAGCCGTACTACGTACCGATATTTGGAAATTGTCGACCAGAGGATATATCTCTCTTTCCCTCTTTCTTTCTCTCTTAAATGGGACGTGTGCTTGTATGCCTTTCTGGCGACCAGGGGGGTGTCTCTGGTCACTCACTGGTGTCCTCAGGCGGTCCCCATATTCATGTTCCCCACTATTGGTGGGCTTCTGGGCTCTACCTAAAAAAGAGTCCAAGGGAGAAATAAGAGGGAAAAATCCTGGCTTGTCCTGCAGAAAAAAACGGTTTAGGGGCTACCGACAGCCTTGGTTGGTTCGTCTCTCGGCCTGATAGGCTTCTGTCATCGAGATCGTCAGGGTCCCTCTTCTACCCTTTTTGTATATGTGTGTAAGTGCTTATATCCACCGACTTGGTTTTTTGCTTCTTCCAAGGAATTCTCGGGACTTCGTTCTGACGAAAGCTAGAAGACATTGAGCTCTTTTTTTTTTTTTTTTTTTTTTCGGTCCTTAACTCCCCTCTTGACTGACCCCCCAATCGCCCGGTCGGATTTTCTCCAAGGCACAATGCTCGGCCAGTAGCGCGTCCAAGCATGGAATCCCTCTCTCTTGTTCTGGACCGTCTGACCCGAGGCGGCTCATCGAGATCGCCAAAATTCTTCCATGTGCACACAAAAGTCTAGTTAATATATGTACCGTACCAAAGTACCCATTGTGTAATGGGAGTCAAAATGAGCACAGTCAATAATTCTTCAAACCTCCTAATTCCAGTCTGCCACAAGGACAACAACCGGCAAATAGAAAATAGATATCCGCAATCTTTTTCTTTTTCTTCTCGGTTTGGGCTTGAAAGGTGTATCCACCCGGACGGATACCTACCGTACAATCAATCAGCTTTTGACAGAAGCACAAACCAAGCCTGAACACAGTAAATGATCGACACACGACAATACTGTTAGACTTTTTGGAACACAGAATCGTATTAGCCTCTCGTCACTTTTCCAGGGAAATTTCAAAAAAGGCACCACCACCCTGCGGCTCTTTTGGCGAGCTGCATGCTATTCCTGGCTGGCTTCAAATGCTCTCCTTCTGGCACGGCAAGACACACACACGCGCGCCGCCGCCATTATGCACTGCACCGCCCAATATGCAGTCGAAGCAAGTCAGTGGCTGACTGACACCGGAATGCATCCGCGTGGGGTGACAGGTAATATTTCTTAAACTCCCCGAACCAATAGGTGGGTGGATAGGCAAATACCGTATAGAATCACGTCTCTTGGTTTTCTTTTTCTTTCCACCACGACAACGGTAGTTTGATGAAAGCGCAATCCTCTTGTTTTTGATCCCGAGTTCCAGCATTCCTCCCTCCCGTCCTGATTTTGTATCTCATATTGGATCATCCAAAGTATGCCTCGTTCTATAACACGCCGATGGGATACTGCGAGGGGATATTGCTAGTATTCGGCTTAATGACGGGCACCTCGACATAGTCTCTTGTCTCAACCGACTGGTTGGCAAAAGACGGCATCCTGCGCACGGGAAACTGCGTCGTTATGTACGCCGCCATGTTGAGCAGCTTGCCCTCTGTAAAGGGCAGGCCGAGGAGCTCCATGCCAATGGGGACGCCAATGGGCGCCGCCGCAGAGGGCGGCGAGAACCCCGCCGGCACCGTCACCACCGGGGACCCCGTCAGCGCCGCCAGGATGCCGTTGCGTCCGCTCTGCGAAGGCGCGCCGAGCTTGACCACTAGGTTCTTTTGCTCCGGGTAGATGAGCGCGTCCAGCTGGTGGTCCGAAAAGGTGCGCCGCAGCGCCGTGGTCAGGTTCTGGATGCCGAGCTGGGCCACGGCGTAGGATGCATTGCTCGTCGACGACGCAAACGCCGTCTTGACGTAGTTGTACTGGCTGGGGAGCACTAGAAACTTGCCGCTCGTGTAGAGCTCGTTGAACGAGGCTGGCGCCTGGCCGTCCAGGTTCGGCCCCGCCAAGTAGCCGTCCAGCTCTTGTCGGTACTCGGACGTCTGGACGTCCAGTCTCGCGGCAATAGCAGTAGCATTATATAGAGAATCCGTCACATTGACTAGCTCCGCGCCCGCCGCCTGGAGGAATTCCAGCATTTTGGCCATGGCCTCATTGACTGGCGTCGTCTCGTCTGAAGCCGTGTGATTCCAGAACCCGTCCAGCATCCCAAGGCGGAGTCCCTGTAAGCTATTGGCAGAGTAGGTCAGCTCCGCCGCGTAATCCTTGCCAATGGCCTCGGGCGGCGCCAATGCCGTGACGTTGTCGCGGCCGTCGAAGCCAATGCCCGCCATGACCGTCAGCGCAGTGGCCAAGTCCCGGACGTTGCGGGCAATGGCGCCGACCGCGTCCTGCGTATAGCTAATGGGGATGACGCCGGCCCGGGTGATGAGCCCGCGGGTCGGCCGCACGCTGACGAGACTGTTTGCGCTCGCGGGGCTGCGAAGCGAGTTGACCGTGTCCGTCCCCGTCCCAAACACGGCAAAGCTCGCGGCAATGGCGGCGCCGGTCCCGCCGCTGCTCCCGCCCGGCGTGCGGCCATGGTCGTACGGGTTGATGGTCTGGCCCCCCAGAGATGACACGGAGATGCCCTCCAGTGCGAGCTCGTGCAGATTCGCCTTGCCCAAGATAATCGCACCCTCGTCCCTGAACGCCTTGACCGTCGGCGCGTCCTGCGTGGGCCTGTTCCCGGCAAGGCCTAGATTGCCGCCCGTCGTGTTCATCCCCACGGCGTCATAGTTGTCCTTGAGCAGGATCGGGATGCAAAAGAGTCGTCCCGTCACGTTTCCCGCTGCCAGAGATTGGTCGAGCTCGTCGGCCCGAGATAGGGCCTCTGGGTTCAGACTAATCACGGCATTAATGGTTGGGTTGAATGTCTCGATTCTTGAGAGAAACGACGAGACCACGCCCCGACAGGTCGCGAGTCCCGTGAATAGGGCATTGTGCACGCCTTCAATGGTGGCTTCGCGGCCATCAAAGGAGTCGAGCTCGCCATGGACCATGCATGCCTGGAGAAGAAGAAGAAGAAGAAGCAATAATCCGCTGACTGTGCAACTCGTGAATGACAACGAGTGGCGCCCTGCCTCTCTGACATTCCGACTGAGAATCCTCATCTTGTCTCGCCTACAAGAACCATTTGCCTCTTGTCTGAAGCGAGAAGATGCGGTTGGTAAAAGTAAGCACTTACTTTTGGGCACTGGAATCTGTTGGCCCACAATCACTGTTATTTCCTAGACCCACGGAGAGGGAAGAATGCGGGGTATTGAAAGCAAACAAGCATGCCAGTTGATAGCTAACAGCGAGGTCTTATATAACCGCAACCTCTCTTCTTCTATCTTCCATCATGGTGGGGAGATAATCCAGTTTGGGTCACCACGATTCATCCATGTCATTGGGAAAATTTGGAGGTTAACGCATCGATTTCATATTGCTTATCAGCAGCGAATCTCCACCACTAGATATATACCTGGTCTAGTAAAAGCATGATGATATCATGGCCAAGGCGACCAATCGATTGAAAGCAGTATTTCGTGGTAGTGATCCGCGGATAAGTGACACCAAGTAGCCGATAGAACAGGGCGCCACTATTGATAATTCTGTGATATCTTCTCGGAAAGCCGCAAAGCTAAATGCTTCGACAATTTTGCCCGGTATTAGTCGATGCCGAATAGAATGGCAGGATTGCATCATGTGAAATGGTAGAATTGAAATTTCCATCTATATCCACGTTTTCTTTGTTTGCTTCTTTTTCTTGGTTCTTTCTCCATTTTATCGGAACGTGCCATCAAAGCATCCACATTCTGCGGCTAGCTCGGTATAAGCGATTTACATTCGGATGAGTTGCTAGAAAAGAGGGATTCTTTGCCTCGGGCTCCCATCTTTGGCGTCAAGGTTGGAAGGAAAAAGACTGTTACTGTTCTGCGTAAGGAGAGATAGTTTTCATCTTATTCTATGGCGCATCCTGGTGTGAAAATACGTTGGTGTCAAACTAGCATGCTTGAACAAAGTGTTTTCGCTTAGTCAGTCTATTTCTACACAAGGATGAAAAGTTCTTCGCCAATGAGGCTCTGCTCTGCGGCGTGGCGTATGCACATCATATTTGCAGCTGTCAGGGCACGCGTATATATAAATCCCACGCAGATCCCGAGACAACGCGGGATGTAGTGTGGGATGGGTGCTACAGCCTACGGACGGGCACCTGAGCACACCCTACCGGTGGTGGCTGGTCATTGTATTCTTGTATTTGCTGACAGCTTCGTGTGAACACTTGAATAGCTGGTAATATGTCGATATGAGACCCAAGGGTCTTTGAGCGAAGCAGTTGCAGCATTCGCAAGGCGCGTGGTTGACACGGAATGGCTTGCGTCTTGTGTGTCTGCACAAAATTTGTGCATGGGCGCTGATGGGGACCAGTCCCATTTCAACACGAGAGTCAAAACAATGCCAGACAGTAATGCTCTGGGCTATAATGTGGTGATGGGTGTTGGCATAACAAGGAAAAAGTCACCCGACGAAATGTAGTACCCGGGTCGTTCGATACCTCATGGACCGACCATCCGCAAAGTACCTGATCAACTCGGGCACTGAGCCGACGCGGTCATCAGCGGGATGCGGCTTTAGTACTACGTTTGTACATGGATTGGCAACTACCTTTGTTTCCTCGCAACTGTTCTATGACAGGCTTCTTACCTCTGCAGCCCTGTAGTGTACGTGACTCAATGTAACATCTGTAATTTCTCCCATTGGACAACCTAGATTGTATGATGGCCTCAATTCCATCATGTCCCGCCTCAAGGCGTGGGGGCGGGGAGTCGAAGTGGGATACGACCGAACTCGCAAGTACTTGGTATCCAATAACGACGATTCGTATGCGTAAAAGTAAATAAGCACAGGAATCTTTGGCAGTGGGTGGCTTTCCGGGTTCTTGGAAAGGGCCCGACAGCCGAGGATCGCACGGCAGGTCCGGTGTCATTGTGTCGGCCTCAAGGTTGAGTCTTTTTGATCCTGAATTTGTGGCAAAGCTGTTCAGAGAGCAAAATTCCAGAGGAAGTGCTCAATTGGGGCGGCAATCCACGGACTCATTTTCTTTGCCATGTCGGCTCCGTAGAGTCAATCACCTGCAGAAGCTGCCCGTGGACGAGTTAGTTTGGAACCTGGTGAGACCGATGCTTACAAACCCATGGTCGTCTGGATAGAAGCGAATTAGCAAACTCGGAGCTCGCGATGTGTCGATTTTGAAAATAATTTCCATGCCGTTTCCAGTCCCTGGCAGAGTCGTATCTGCACAGATTGCATGCATTCCCGTCATGCATGGCGGCTTGCGACGGCCGAGTATACGAAGTGAGCGAAAAGGCGGTTCTAGAATAAGCCACATGCCAGTAATGGCTTTAGTATACTGAGCCTCGTGTAGCAGTTAGTCAATTGCGTGGGGGCTCCTTCTATTGCAGTTCACAAGAGTACCAGTCAAATGTCTTCCATTCGCCATAGAATGAAGCTTCATGCCGTGGTATTGTTGAATGACATTATCGGAGTCTTGAGATGATTGGGAAATGTGTGCATCGGAAAGACTTTCGGCTTCGGAATGCCCCGCCGTCGATGATGCCGTTGTCATTTGGAGACGATCCCGTAACAGATTCCATTAGGGTATCAATTCTTGGAGACCAATTATGGCACGACAGAACCGGCTAGTGACTACTTAGACCAAGATATTATTGTGTCAAGCTGGCAGGCAATGCCTCTTTGCCTTGCATGAGTTATGGCGAGAATTTTACCAATTGCAGCAAGCCGGGCGAAAATTGCTGTATCCGAGATGCCAAGACTCGTCCTGGCTTCTGGTTCCAGGCACCGGTGAGTGACATCTCCATGTCAAAAAGACGAACCGGCAGGCGACTACAAGCGACCCCAGGGTTTGGACGGAAAAGCCAGAAAGCTGGGGAAGTTGGGTAAGACGTGGGGGTTCAGGTGGCGTCGATCACGCCCAGCCGCCTACGAAGTATACTAGGTAACGCACGACGGCGCAGGTGTAAAGTTGCAAGGTTCAAGATCGTTTATCGAGAAGGGGTTAGAATAAAAGAAGTCGCCCGTCTCCGTCCGCGTCCGAACCGCGTCTCTATATTGCCAAGTCCCGAGATGAAACTTGAAGACGGATTTCTCATGCCGGTTGCTGCTTCGATGAGTTGTTTGGCATTCTCAGTTGCCGCCTGTGGTATGGAGAGCATGGCTCTAGAACTTGCATGTGCTTCTTTTCCCTCTCGCGAATATGGCCTGTGGAGACAGCCTCCGTGTATGTCGTGCCTACACCGAATATGGCAAGCGAATGCAAATAAGCTTAGCCAAGCATTCGAGTAATATGAGTCTGGTGATATTGCCATATGCGAAGGAGTAGTGGCGTAGCATATGAAATGCAACTTTTCAGGTATACAAAAGACCACGTTGCCAAGGTTGTACGTACTGTGTATACTGCAACTGTGATGCCCCGGGCACACATAACGAACGCAGACGACTGAATGCTTGCGATCGGAGCGCCGCCGCCTTTAGTGTACCTACGTAACCTAGGTGAAATATGCGAAAACGTGGAGACAGGGAAACTGTCACGCGATCAGGAGCCATGCAGGTGCAGTGCATATGTGGGCGTTTTGTTGAGAAGTAAAACAAAGGACGGGAATCCGGCAGGGAATCTAAGCCCATGATTGCAAAAGGAAGTTCAGCCCGTTTCATGGCCCATCTTGTTGTTTTGTCCTGCCAAGGTCGCAAGCCGTCGGGATCAGATCGATGGTCCGATCCTATTTTCAGATGCAACATGTCTTGAAAGAGGTGGAAGGAGAAGCCATTATTGGAATATTGGTAATAAGGAGTGCTAGGCCAAGCTTTCAATTCGGCATTGCGGGTCGAGAGAGAGAGAGAGAGAGGAGGGGTCCATTTCAGCGATATATTCCGTCGAGCGGCAGCGGCAAGCGGTTGCGGTTTGTCGAACCCCGTCTACAGAGGAAGCGCTGGACAAGATGGAACCATGTCAGGTCACGCTGTCGTAAAAACGGACGTACACAGGTGGATACTCGCAGTTTCAAAGTAGACATCAGTCACCAAGAAAGCAACAAGCACATCTTGCCACGACCGCCTCGATGATTTGTGGATACGATTGATACTAATCCCATGTTTTGTCTGGTCTAGAATGGCGTCTTGCATTTGTCTTCTGCGTCTGTGTGAGGAGAGCGCCAGCGAGGTCGAGCGCAAGTTTCTACAAGGTATCAGTTGACATCGGCTTTTCGGGAAATTTAATCCCAATCACTGCAGACTTGTATAGGTACAGTTCTCGTAAAAGTTGGCAATGTCGACATGCATGGTCACGTAGGAATGGGGTCATAGCAACATCGTGACTTGCCAGTTGATTCATCTTTCGCTACAAGAACAAATCGAAAATGCGTGTAAAGTTATGTAGGTAGTCATGTACAGCCTGTACCTACCTACCTACCTACCTACCTACCTACCTACCTACCTACCTACCTACCTACCTACCTACCTACCTACCTACCTACCTACCTACCTACCTACCTACCTACCTACCTACCTACCTACCTACCTACCTACCTACCTACCTACCTACCTACGTATTTGGCACGTTTGCTCCATAGTACCCCGCAACCTTCCCCCCGAACGCGGGGCAATTAGGTTGGTTTTAGTGTGAGGGAAACACCTACGTACCTACACTACTCGGCGATTCTGGGGAGTCCCATCAGTGGTGGATCTTTTTTTTTTTCTAACACGTAGTTCCAGAAAGACCAAGAACAATCAATTGACAACCTGCCGAGTTCGCACCCCCCATGAAGTATACGAATGACACAAAGGTTCGACCTGGACTTGGACTATAGCTTGCCTGGCTGAAATACCCGACTACGACAATGGGGCTGTGCAGCTGTGCAGCTGGTTTCTCGATCGACAAGAGGTGTGGCGGTTTCTGACCACCAAAATCTGCCAGACTGGTTCAGCAGCACCTCTCGATCCAGTCCCTCGGAGAGGAGGCCTCGCCACCCTTGTCCATATACGTACTAACCTACGCCATATACGTACATTGAAGGATTTCCCAAAGACGAAAAGACCTGGAGAGGAGGGATGCAATCGAACAAAGAAGATGGTGGGTGTCGTGAAGAAGCAGACGCTGAAAGTAAGCAATTCACCTACCGATCGGCTCGGGGATACATGGCAATTGTCAATGGATAATCTCTTCCATATCCCACCCGAGGTTCAGGCTCGGCTGCATTCCATCATCAAAGAGAACTTCCCTTCATGGGTGGACGAGGCGAAAAGAATACCACCACCCCCTTTTTCTTTCCATATTCACCGCTTTCAGCTGAAAGATCCTACCTGCGAACCACAGTCCTCAACGCGTTCATCTCGACTGCTGCTGTGGTACAGTTGCAGCATGTCTCGGCTACCAAACTTGGTATGGCAGACCGATTCGACTGGACCACCGTAACGAGGCAGTCCTATATACAGACAATGTCATCGTCTGACGTGTTGTCATCGAGAACCATTGTTCGCAGCCGCATGACCGCCCGGTGATGTGCTCTGGTTCGCTGCTGTCGTTTTTGGCCCGCCCGCAGCATTACTGAGACCTGAAGTGCTTTGCAGCTAAGACCACGTTTCCCAGCATACATTGATACCCTCCAACGGCTACAACCGACTGTTGTCAGACAGTGGCGTATATACGTACAGCAGAGCTGATCGACTGACTGACTGACTGACTGGCTGACTGACTACTGATTGACTGACGGACTCACCTACTGGTGCATGCTGCAAAGTGCATACTCCATCTGTCCGTCTCATCCTTTTTCTCTTGCTGTTTGTCGTGTTTGAGCACTTGGCAAGGCAGGTCGGTTCTGTCGATTTTCAAATAACCACGAAATGATTATTTCCGCTGCATTAAACACATTTCTGTCAATGTAGGTACGGATACAAGGACCTATCTTGGCTAGGCCTGCCGCTTCGTTGGGCTAGAAACGTATCTGCTACCCCGAAAATACCATCTTGCTTACATACTTTAGCATGTCGCCGGGGCCTTGTACTATTTTCCATGATCATCGTCTGTGGCTCCAGGCTTGAGGCTAACCCCCACGTCGAGTGTCCCAGCTTCCAGGAATCCCTGCTGTTCAGACGACCGGGTTCCTTGGGGGCTACATGCAATCATCAAAGATACCTCAGATACTACACACTTCGCGTACTACAGTCCTAGGTCAGTTCAATATTTGCTGCTGACAATTCAATACACATGGCTGGACAACTATTATGCAGAAGTAACAATGGACATACCAGGCGAGATTTTCCTCTTTCTTTTTTCCCTTTCTCCCTTCCCCCCCTTTGCCTCACCATACCGTCTCGTGAACTTGCCTGCGCTTCCGCGGCGTTACCTTACGGGGTTCCACCCGCCCCTGTATACCATGCTCTTTCTTTTACTCTCTTTTCCCGACTTTCTCTCTCTTACCCGGTCTACTGGAGTCTTTCTCGACCTCCGGATCGCCCGCTACATGGTCGGCTGATCCCCCGAGCTTCCTCAAGCGTCACCGCTTTGGGCAGGTTGGGGCTATTTCGAGGGAAGAAAAGAAACTTGGGTCCCACACTCATACCTACCTAGTCTCATACATACATGCTAGGCGAGGCAGGTAGGCTATGTTATGGCTCCAGCTCCGACTGACTCCGTAGCCTACCTAGACTTACTGTAGGTAGGGCGATTTACTTAAAAGCAACAAGTTGCCCCTTTCCAGTTCAAGTTTCTCCTTGTCTACAGTCTTCATATCCTGATCGATCATCCCATTTCATCCCATCTCACCTCATCTCATAAGACTGATATAGCTTACGACGCTATATCACTTTCTCACCGCACCCTTGTTCTATGCTATTATCCTGTCAAGTTTCTCTTGCGGGCATAGATACTAGTGGTTGACTTGGCTCCTTCCATACCAAAAGCGGCACTGCCACCATCTGCTCTTATCATATTTGCCTGCCGGGTCATCTATTGCGTAGTGCCTCAGGTGCTACAGGTCGTCACGCGATACCCTACTCCTTCCAATATTTATACATATAATACATACCTACCTACCTAGTACCTACCTTGGGACGTCGTGTCTGTCCGCGTACACTAGTGAGCCACCGCATCCCACGACTGTGTCACCTGTCTCTGCTTCCGTACAATGGCACCTCACGTCGACGCTCCTTCGCCTGCTGGCAGCTACACCAACTGGCCCGGGAGTGTGCCCTCAAACTTGCGCCCTCTTGGTGCCTCTTCTACAAGACTAAGCTCTGTTACCAATACGGAATCGGCATCACCATTGAGTAGCTCTTTTGATAGTACGTCCCTGGACGAGAACTTCAGAATGGCCAAAACACTTGTTCCCGGCGTCTATGTCCCCACCGTCTGTTTCTTCGACCCCGAGACTGAAGATGTCGATACAAAGCAAGTAGCCCAACATGCTGTGCGCCTTGCCCGCGCGGGCGTGGCGGGCTTGGCCACCCAGGGCTCAAATGGCGAGGCTGTCCATCTTTCTCGCGAAGAGCGATGCCTCGTCACCTCGACCACAAGAAAGGCCCTCGATGCGGCGGGTTTCGAAACATTGCCAGTCATTGTGGGCTGTGGCGGCCAGAGCACACGTGAGGCCATCCAACTCTGTGTTGACGCTGCAAAAAATGGCGGCGACTATGCCCTCGTCCTACCTCCCTCCTATTACGCTGGGCTCTTTGCTCCGTCCTCAAAGACTATTCTCGAATATTTCAACGCTGTGGCAGACGCTTCCCCAGTGCCACTCATCATCTACAATTACCCGGGCGCCGTGAACGGCATGGATTTGTCATCTGATATCATTGTGCAGCTCTCTGAGCATCCCAACATTGTTGGCGTCAAGCTGACCTGCGGCAACACTGGAAAACTCAACCGAGTTGCTGCTGCCACGCGAAAGTTGACCAAGAACTATGATGCCAAAAAACCAGAGTTTTTGGTGTTGGCCGGTTCCGCAGACTTCAGCATCCAGTCACTCATTGCCGGCGGTCATGGTATCCTTGCAGGACTAGCAAACATTGCACCCAAGGCCTGTTTAAAGACCATTGAGCTTTTCGAGGCGGGCAAGTACGAAGAGGCACAAGATATGCAAGACACAGTATCACAGGGCGACTGGGTAGCCATCCAAAGCGGAGTGATTGGCGTCAAGTCGGGTATGCAGTCGTGGATGGGTTACGGCGGCTATGCACGTAGCCCGCTGCCAAAACCAACTGCCGAGCAGGCCAACGCCTGGAAGGAAGGCTTCCGGGATTTGGTGCTACTCGAGAAATCTCTGTAAGATGCTTTCCACGTGTTCATGTTCTTTAATGAGCGAGGGAGGAGGAGAGAAAAGCATCGCATGTCAAATGGTTGTGGGGGTCATATCAAAAGGTCAACCGACCAGGCGGTGAGAAGTAGCGACGGATTTGCATTTTATTTTGACCATTATCCATGTGTCAAAAAATCCACCATGACAAAAGGGTAGAGGTGTAGGGAACACAGGATGTCCCCGCAAAAGCTTCTTTTATTCCTTGTAGATTTAAGTAGCGCTGTTAGCTGGTAGGATTCAAATGAATGACTCTTTTTTTTTCAGTATGACTTGAGTCTTTAAGCATGATGTTCCTTTTTCTTGAGATAATTGAAGACTTTGTCACCTCCAAAACTTTTATGGCCCCTTTTTACTCTGTCAATCATGGGTTCTAGTGTACGAAGTAGGAATATGTCGAAAAGGCATATTGATATTGTCGCCCGGACATGAGAAGGAATGATCATGAGTTTCTCTTTCACTCCATCGAAACAATGGCTTGCCACGAAACTGACGTCGACAAATAATATCTTGACCTGCATCTCCAACGGGGAGCTCGAGCTCACCGAAATCTGGTTATTTGACAACAACAAAAGTAGATAGGGCGGTGAGTCGATATGGTCGGCCAATTTCCTGCGTGGTCCCAATTGTTCCGACTGGTACTCTTGCACAGCATCTCATGATCCCCAAGCATCACCATGTTTCTTTCCTCCAGTTTGGTAGATTCCACGCTTGACAGCAATTTTGGGGGAGGTGAGGTGATACAGTGCGCCCCAACATGGGCACTTGTCTGGCTTTCTACCCAGGCGGCCGATATTCTCGGAACGCAACGCTGGCTGGACCCCATTCCTCATGGGGGACTTGCACGTTGTGGTTCGGGTTATGCTTGAACGCAATCGCTTGGCTGTATGAAGGAGACCAGAAAAAAGGGCTTGACAAAGCAACTGTTCTCGGATTCCCATTCGATAGACACGTGGTCCAGACCACGGCTTTCAGGGCGTACACGGTCATGTAGTTTGCCTGGCGGGTAATTTCTCCGGTCTTGTGTCCCACGAAAACAACGTTTTTCTTTTTTGACTTTCATATGATCCTAGGCTCATCATTTCTCAGTCCGTGCCCGTGGTAAACAATTTGCTTTGGGATAAATTTGGAGGTTGCTGATACGCGGGTAAACGACAAGTGATGCATCGGAGACTGGTTTTCTCATCAGGAAAGCTCTATTGACTCTTGGAAAATCTCTGCCACTGCTGCTACTTCCCGTTGAGGGGCGATTCTGTACTTTGATCCTGTACCGTAGTCATTGTAGCTCGTTACACGCCTCGAAAAGACGGCCGTATCTAGAAATAGCTTTGTGATTGATTTTGCGTTGCTCACAAACCCAGAAAACTCCGTGAGGTTTTTCATTTCTTCACCGTCTGATTGATGCTTTCTCTGAACACGCACACGCAGCTTGAAGGAGAAGGTCCACTACGATTCTCAAGCATAAGATGAAATAGATACATGGCGCGTCTCTGCATGTTACTTTGGATCACAGAATACGAGAAAACGAAAAGCCATTGCCTGTTATGGTTGTTTCTTACTTCCTGTACTTAGTCCAACGTCTCGCAAAGGAGGCAGGAATCGCGGTAAAGGCGAAAGAGAGATCTCATAAAAGCCTCATGCCCTTACTCTTTTGCCAAGACATTTTTCTTCTCCCAGCAACATGATGATATTCCCATTTCTTCTGCTTTCAATCCCAGTAGTAATACTCCATCCTTTCTAGTACAAATCGCGGTATAGAATATGCACATATCCGAAACTCTCCTCTTCACGGCGCTTGCCAGTCTGCTGCCCGGCATTGTTTGCAGCCAGGCACCCGTGACTGTCACGGGGCTACACACAGGCATAGCTGATGACGGCGAGAGGCCTACGAGGTTCAATATTGAGTACTTGCAAGCACTGGGCGGTCCACAATGGTACTTGTCGGAGATGAAACCCCCTGCTTACTCAAAATCGTGTTGACTTTTCATTGTAGGGACTTGTACATATTAGGGCTGCGCGAAATGCAACAGCTTGGTCAAAATGAGTCAGATTCCTTTTTCCAGATTGCAGGTGAGTTATGATCTCTTTTGCCTCCCTTGAGTCTTGTGTCTATTTACCCAGTCAACCAAAGAGAGTGGCTGAAGAATTCGTCTCCTTTCAGGTATTCACGGCCGGCCCTTTACAGCATGGAATGGAGTCGGACAGGCCCCGGGGGCTCAAGAGACTGGATATTGCTTTCATAATGTATGCTGCTTCCATCTTAATAACCCCAATATTGGATCCGTCGGAGGAAATCCTCCCAGTCTCCCTTGCGTCAAATGGTAATAACTTATCACGCAGGAGGTACCGTTTATAACGTGGCATCGGCCCTACCTTGCCTTGTACGAGGTAAAGGTTTACCCTACTATTCCAATCATCTATAGACACTAATCATTGCCTCAGCAAATACTGGGCGGGAAAATACAACAGATAGCACGACGGTATACCGGGAGAGACGCGGCCCTTTACTTGTCCGCCGCGAATTCCTTCCGGATACCGTTTTGGGACTGGGCCACTGACTCGAATTTGCCGCCGGCAACGACATGGCCCGAGATCACGGTCAACACGCCCGAGGGTCAAGAAACCATTCCCAATCCGCTGTACAGCTTCGTTTGGCCCAGCGTGCCGCTCAACCACGACCCAGCGTGGTTTCCGACTACCGATGACCCCGTCTTCTGGAACAGCACGGGGACGCAACGACACTTGAATCCTAGCGGTAACTTGTCGCTGGTGGTGACGTCTCTACGGGACAAAGTGGTATGTTTGCTCCAAAAGTTCCACTCCCCGTCTAGGCCCGATTCTAAAAGGGGATCCTGAATTTCAATATAGTACAACGTCTTTGCCAAGACCAGGGACTTTGACGTCATGGCCTCGACAGCGAACCCTGGGCCAAGCTTTGAGGATCCTCATAACGATGTTCATAATGCCGCGGGCACCTTCATGTATAATCCCCTGTACTCGGCCTTTGATCCCATATTGTAAGCTGTAGTCTGACCTCCCCAAGAAATGCCCCCGTTCACACATGAACCTGACCCGCCTCCAGCTGGCTTCACCATGCCAATGTTGATCGGCTCTTTGCCCTCTGGCAAGCCATCAACTACAACTCAACATACCAGAGCAAACCCACAGACATTGGGTCCGGTACCTGGGCTCAGCCGGGGAGTACGCAAATGACGGCCGACTCCCCCTTGGCGCCCTTTTACCGGCCCGGCTACGGCGGCGGCGGTCCGCAGACGTTTCACACGGGCCGGACGACGGCCTCGCTCAAGACCTTTGGCTACACGTATCCCGAAATCAACGACTGGTCGACAAGTCCGGACCGCACGCGGCAGCTCGTCATTCGGCAGGTCAACTCGCTGTACGGGCCGAATCTGGTCACGCCGCCACCGCACGGGTCTGGAGGAGGTCCTCCATCTTCTCGTCATCGCCGCCATAGTACTGAGCGGGACAATGAAGCCAACTGGCCGCGACGGCAGCGGCAGCGGCAGCGGCAGTACTACGTCCAGATTGGAGTCGAGCGGTCCGAGCTCTCTCTCCCCTGCGAAGTTCAAGTCCTCCTGGGCAACGACACGGTCGCCGGGTCTGCAGCCATCATGGCCTTGCCGCCTGCGGGCTTGACCCATACAGAAATCCAGCTCAACCGGGAGATTAAGCGGTTCGCTCCATGTGTCGAAGACAAGACCGTGGTGCCGCTGCTCGAGCAGAGGCTTAGGGTGGAGATTAGAAAGGTAAGTCTGTTAACGCAACGCTCATGGAGAAGAACAAGGAACCCTAAACGTAGAGAAATTCTGACTGGTGAATTCAATTTGCAGCGAGACGGCACCCTCATCCCCACCGACTCGGTAGTAAGCCTGACGATCAACGTTGAGAGCGTTGACGTCGAGTTTTTAGACCTTGACGATGAGCTTCCAATCTACGGACCTAGCACAAAATATCCAAAACTCGGACGGCCCGCCGCGGGATATCCTTTGCCTCGGAGGCGAGATTACAGCATTTGAATTACAGCAGTCTTCTAACACTGGTAAAAGTGATTCGCACGCGTCTATCGTGGTAGACCGGGAGAGCATGAACTCATGCGCCTATACACATAGCATATAGATTGAGCTTGCTTTTTTGTTTTCGACAAACAATGCTGGTCATTCAATCGTTGCAGTCCTACGTGCAAAAGTGTCTATGTGGATTCAAAATTGCTGTCGTTATACATCAACATTACGCGGGACCCAAATGGCCACGCCATCACCCTCCCGTTTCATCCCTTCCGTTGGTATGATTCTTAAGACCTTTTGAAAGTACTTGTCCCTCACCACCAGCTGCGGCTTTATCCACCGTCCACCCTCAACCAATGGCAGGAGTCGGTATGTCACTGCTCTTCGTGCGAGTGGCAGAACATTCAGCGATGTACTCTTGGATCCACTGAAAGCAAACTCATCTGACGGTTCCATGGCCAGACCGAAAGTCAGGAAATGGTTCGAGGGGTTCTCAATAGTAATATCAAGAATGATAATGGGTAGCGATCTATCAGATGCGTCAGCACCGTCCTTTGGCGCTGGTGGCTCCGAGTAAGAGACGCTAGCTAAGACACGCGGCTCGGAAACGGTAACATAAAAGGGGTCGAGGAGGAACGTGGTTGTATTCGGGGCGCTGTCGTTTTCTGCAGTTGACCGGTGCCACTTGATAGAGAAGGCCAAGTCTGCAGTTGATGGAGCTCGTTCGTCGAGGGTCAATTTCTGCGCCACAATGTCAAATTGTGCTTCTTCCATTGTCTTTGGACTCATTGTCAAGTCCGAAATGAGATGTGTCGGGTCTTTGGACACGGTACATTTCACACCACCATGAGTTTTGACTACCTGAAGATCGAGCTCCCGCACGCAGAGGTCCTCGGTAGCAAATGAAGCAAAGCGCGTAATCAGGCACCATTTTTGTGCCAAACCCGTGGCTTGGTGATTGTGGTCCTCATCATCCTCAGCTTGCTCTTGTAGATTCTCATGGTCGAAAATGCTTGGCCATGATTCTTTGTGTAATCTTGGAACTAGATCATAACTGGCTTCGAAAGGATTGACAACATTGACCTGGAAAGTGACCGTTTGTACAATAGATGTCGATGGGTCAGATATCAAATTGTACCATGCCTTGATAGTAAGGTCGTAGGCTGTGGGTCGGATTATAGGATCGATCGTGACTATGGCCCTGGCTGACTCTGTTGTGGCGATGGTACCTATAGGCAGACCATCGAGCTTTGCCTCCTCGCTATGTTGGCTGGTCGACTGTAGTGTTTCATCTCCGGCAGAGGCTGTGAAAGAAGGTACCTCTTGACCATATAGATGAACGTCTAGTTTCGATACTGCATCCACATCTTCTTCGTTGACAAGGTCGATCTGCACTTTGATAGGCTCACCAGCATAATACTGCTTGTGAACGCCAACAAATCTGAGTTGCATCTTTGGCGGCCTTGGAAGAACCTTGATGACGTGGGGATTGATCTTTGTGACTCGTCTCTTCCCAGTATTCGTATACCAAAAGCCCACAGTATTGTCTTCACGAACTCTCATGGAGTAGCTGAGCTTGAAGTTTTCCGGCGCGATGGTGGCGGTTATCACCGCGGCATTCGCTTCACCAGCCTCTCTCAATGGCAGGCTCAATTCGAATACCCTTGACTGTCCTGGCCGCAGTGTCAAGTCGTCTTTTCCATGGAGTATAACCATGCCACTGGTTGGTGTACTCGACCCAGATTCTGCTCTATCACCGGTATCTTCTGGAGCCTCAATCTCTTTGAGAACGACAGAGGTGAGAGAGATATTGTTCCTGACTAGTGGCTGGGCAGTGCCTGCTTCATGGGTTAGGCGCAAATTCCGCACACTACCCCCAAAGGCCACTGCGATATCTTGCAAAGTGATTGGCGCACTCCCAGAAAAGGCAGTGGACGTGACGACGAGCTGCGCTGGGCAAGTTTGACCTGCTCGGCCCTCATCATGTTTGAAGACAAATGATGCTTTGAGGAACGAGGTCAGATGATCATCGTTGACTGAAACCTCCGGGCGTTTATCGATCTGCATATTGTCAAGAGACCGGGTGATATCGTAATGCCAATTGGGCTGTCTCGAGAAACCTGGTACAGATTAATCATGGTGAATTAAGCAGAAAAGCCGTATTGGAAACTCACTATTGCTGAGAAGCTCCCAGTCGATTGCAATGACCAAATCCGCCTGCCCAGCTCGTGCAGCGGCTTTTCTGAGAGTCCAACCCAGTGCCTCCGCCGCGCCTAGCCATCCTTCTCTGCGGAACGATGAATCTCGCCACATAGGCGTGAGTAGTTCCAGAATCTGTTTCCATTCCTTGAGATATTCCAGTTCTTTGGCGGCATCAAGCGCAATCTCTGCGGTCAATCGTACTTGGTGGCGTTTTTGGAATTCTGCTTTTGCAGCATTGAGATATTTTAGAATGTATCGTGCATGGTCAAAGCCCTCGCCGTCTAGGGGGTACTCTTCGTATGGCTCTGGACACATGTACGTATCGAACGCGTTATAGGCCTTGGCAGCAGATTTGGAAACCTCTGATAGGTCAGGCGGTTTTCTGGAGTCATCAGGAATTGCATACGCCAGTTTCCTCCGGTCCAGCGCGTGCTGAGAAGCGGTTTTGTACCAATAACCAGCGTGGTGCAAGAGCTCCCAGGGTTGTAATCGTTCAGCAGACAAGGCTTTTTCTGGCGACCGGAACAAGGCCTGAGACGAAGAGTCTAGCTCAGGGAATTGGGCTCTCTCGATCAGATTCGCCATGATCTCGGCCCATCTCGCCTCCCAAGCTTGCCAACCATAATTCTGCGTTCCCCGACCTCTGCGATCAAGGAAATCGGACATGCGCTGTCGATGCATCTGCCACCTACGCACAGCCGCAGTGGTTTGCCCGTTCCACAACAAGCACCTTAGCGCCCTGATGGCCAGTATATCCGCAACATATCGGCCATCGTTGAACCTTGGGCTCCAGCTTGGGACCGTCTCCAATACATCCATTCCTAGCAGGGTCTCATAGGCCTGCTCGTATGAACGCAATGCGACATCCATTTCTTGTCTAAATTCGGCAAAGACACCTGCTTTGAAATCATAACGGACGTTCCAGCCTTGAAGGGTAAGGGTATGGGAAGTGCCGCTGGTGGGTGGGATGGTAGGTTGGGGCGCCACACCTCTGCCTTTCTTCTTGCGGGACCTTCGACCAAGTTCACGGTAGTATTCACTGGCTTGGACAAAAACAGCAGTCAATATGCTGTCCACAGCGCCTTCCAACTCTGCTTCAGAGCGTCGTGTAGGCAAGACAAACAGCGATGTCTTGGGATCCAACCCAGTGCCCCACCTGATATTCTCCAGTCTCTCTTGAAAGGCGCCCATGGAATCCGGTGTTCGGTCACTCAAGATGACTGCGACCAAGCGGCACTTGTAGCCAGAGCGACTGATTGCATTTTTCAAGGCGTTGATATCTGTCTTTAGCTGGTTGTCGTGCAATGTTGCCAGTGTAGGGTCGGATGTGAGGCTGTAGAAGCACAAGCATATACTCGGTATGAGTGATTGATGCTTGTGCAGCCAGCGTGCGTCTATGAGCCCATCGGGATATAAAGATGAGCCGGGACTCAGAGGAGAGAAAGGCGAGTGTAGAACGGGCGGTGACAAGGGCGTCTCGAGGTCTTCTGGCAGTCGAGCGCGCCGAGGCGGTAAGAGGAAGTCCTATAATTTGAATCAGGTCAGGATCAGGCGCACAGATAGTCTAGAAGGACGAGAGTTGCACAGTGTAAGACTCACTCTACCTATGGTCTTCACTTTGAATTTGTACTTCCGGGAGGCGTCTTGTCCATTCCACGGCAGGTCAGTTGCATCTGCCTCCTGGATGTAATGCAAGATCGCCTTAGCCTCGCGACTCTCAACCGGAGGAAGCTCTGACCGTATGAGCACGCTCTGCTCTTTGAGGTCCGGATCGGTGAGCAGTGGTTTTGTAGGCCCAGTGCTGAGGCCTGACACCACCAACAATGGGAGGTTATGGTCCAGACTCCCAGCGGGATAGTCGTCCATGGCTCGAGGGGGTGTTCACAGAGCAGTCTACGCCAACCTGTCGGTTCCTAGGTGCATAGCAGTCAAGACGAGAGGTACCTGCAGCTTTACAGCAGCACTATATTCCAATGATTAGCAGCCTGGATCGATTTATAGTACTGCTGCTCAGATGTGACACGGAACCATGAAGCTAACGGACGCAGACTCACTTTTGACCAAAGTTGGGCGCAGACACAACCAGACTACCAGCCCGCGCAGCAACAAATATGCTTATCTTGCCAGCAGTTATAGCTCTCTCGAAAGCAGTAACCAAGCAATTGTCCCAGATGTCATGTAACGGGTCGCAAGGCGTAGTGAAGGCTGTTGTGCAGGGTCAGAAGTCTTCGACAAAGACAATCAATCAATCGCAGCTTTGATGCCAGTGAGGTCGGCCCACAGACACGGTTATCTGCTGCTGCTGCTGCGCGTTGACTCCAGGCGCCGCATGTAAAGTGGTTGCTGCTCTGGACCTCTATGTGGTACGTCGTACGCCGTTGAGTTACTTTGACGTAGGTGGGCAATTGCTGAGCTAGGGCTGCCAATAGGTGACCTCAGACGCCTAAGCTCCCCCATTTCGGTCATTGCCGAGGGGGGTTGTAGGGCCCTCTGAGCTGTACCTACTTCCTGCCTAGGTACATGTGGTAACAGTTAGCGCATTCTGACAAATGTCTGCCAGGGGTTTTAGTGTCTATCCCGTAGCATCTAAGACTGTAGCACGCCCACCTCATCAGCGCTGCTTGCGAACTCGGGGCCCGTCTGACCTACCCCAACTGCCACGCTGCCCAGTGCTCATTGTATGTCCCTAATCTGCAGCTGCCGACTCTAACAATACAGGTGTCCAGGACCACCCAAGCTACCCAACAGCTTCCCCAATGCTCCTCGAGACTAACCAGTCAATGATTTTGAACCGATCGATAATGTAATCGGCCAAGCGCGGGACCCAAGCGTAACAAAGCGAAGACGCAGCCTCGTCGTCCCCGTCCACCTATCTGCCCCCCCAGTCCCCATTACGCAGCGAAAGTCTTCTTCCTGCCAGAAACTCGTCGCAACACGCACTTTTCGACCTTGTCTAGGGGTACTCGGTCTCTTGCATATATTTGAACATAGTCAAACGTCATTTTACTTCCAAAGCCTCTCGTCATCTGTTCAACACGACACTTCCACCGTCTTCCCTCTCGCCATTCACACCCGATTCCTCGGCGAGCGCTGCGACAGAACCGCCACCAGTCAGTTTCCTCCCGCCTCGACTCTTCGTACTCTCAAATCCGCGCCTACTAACACGAAAGGACGATAGTCGAAGAGGCGCAGGCGCGAGCTGCGCTGCGAATAATTGTACCTCAAAACACAGTCTACCTCGAATACCGCAGAAACTGGGGACTGCGAGGCGCAGGCCCACGATCTCGATTGCCCACCATGTCGCAACAAGCACTTTTCGCCGACACGATAATAGCCATGAAAAAGGCAATGAAGCGGAGAGCATACGGTATCCTTCTTGTGCCTTCCAGTACGCACTTCCCAAGTCACTAATCAGATTTCTGCTGCCGTAGAGTCAGAAGATTCAGACGACGATGTCGACTACCGTGGAAACCGCGGTCAGAAGCTCAACAAGCGAGCCAGATTTGCGCGTGAAGGGCAATTGGCACCGGCTTCGGGCCCCGAAGTCTATAAAGAGGCATGTATTTTCACCACCCGTCACTCTTCCAGGAGCTGTTTTACTGACACTAGTGCTACAGTACATCGAGCATGCTGGCTATGTACGGGGCATCATTAGTCGAAACCCACCTTTGGTAGACGATGAGGGTTACGAACCAGAGAGCGACGACGAAGACTACGAACAGCGAATGCAAGATATTGTCGAAACTGCAGCCGAGTTCAACCCTTACGCGAACGTGCGCTTGGAGAGTGAGCTTGAGTGCCTCGAGTCTCCGGTTTTTTTGTGGCATACTGACCAAATACTGCACAGGCATCCTCGCACCACTGACATCTGTGACCGACCTGCCTTCGCACCCTACTCTCGCCCGCCCTTATACGTCCAAAACATTGACCGACCTCACGCTTCAAGCTCGCGATACCATGTACAAGGAGAATGAAGCGCTGTGGAATATCAAGCACCTCCACACAAAGCTGGTCGGTGACCATATCTGGATCCCGACTGAAATGATGGAGACACCAAACGACCTCCACTACTTTCAAGAACCCCACGCTGCAAGTACTCCTGGCTCTGGACAGCCTACCATCAAGCCAGATACGACCAGGCTGCTCTTGGGAGCCGATGCAACTGCCAACAACGCGAATGACTCTCCATCGGCCAATGGTGCAGGGTCCAGCATAACCCGTGAAGATGGTGAACAGGCCAAAGAAACAACTGGAGATGGCGACACCTCAATGATCGATGCCGATGAAACAATAGACGAAGACACTACCGCAGAATCGAATCGGCAGAATGATAAAGTGTCAAGCGGAGCGACCGAGTCTAACGGGGATCCAACTGCTAATGGGACGCAACACGGGCATGACAAGTTAGCTGCAGGCAAAGCACAGCCAACAATAAATGGTGCTACAACAGCAGGGGAACAAAACGGCGGGAGAGCACAGGCGCAACCGTTCCCAAAAGCGCTCAATGGTCATGAAGTCAACCTCCCAGGAAGCGCGCCAATGTCGATAGCTTCTTTGGAAGCTCTCGATGAAATGTTTATCCATCCGATCTTCCTAGCACCCAAATCAGCACAACCGAACCGAGACTTGGGTATCCCAGAGGCGGAAGCTGAGGATTTGAGGCGGTTGCTCCAAGCTTACGTCCAGAAGCAAGAAGAAGTATGTCGAGGCACAAAAAGGCTCCATGAAGGCCTGCTGCGTGCAGAGAGGCTGCGAAGAACTGTCTTGCAATGGTCCAAGTACGAGGCACATTGCGGACCGAACCGAGACATGTCGGATGGAGAAGACTGGTACGATAAGGAAGAATGGGGCCTCGAAGAAGATCTAAAGAAGGGTCAAGACGAGGAGGAGGAAGACACGACGACACAGCAGCCAAAGAAGACCAGAGCAAGGAAATAGGTAAAATGCCTGGAATAGCGAACGCTTGCAACGGGAAAACGGAACGACTGGAATGAGCAATGGCGTTTGGGATGTGTATTTGGGCATATGAACACGGCGTTTCGGCATTCAAAATACCCAGGACTTACGACGGGAAGGAATCTTCCCTTTGAGTTTCCTACATGAGATTAATAAAGCAGACAACCATCTTCCTGTTTGCTTTTGCAACTGGCCATTTGAACAATGCAACCAAAGCTTCCCCATTCGAAAGTAGCAGCGGCTCCAAGTCGAATATACGATGGATGGTTCAATACAAAATCCAACCGATTATTATGGCTTGCTGTCTGGACACGGGTAAGTCAAGTATCTTAAGCTGCATTATGAAAGAAAAACTTTGGTTTTTTTTTTTTTTTGACGGTTGCTGTCCGCCCTTTTTTTTGCCAACGGAGTTTGAGGGCCGGTTTGTGCCGGTTCGACGAGGAAGGAAGCTCAAAGAAGCGAAGGGAGGGGTTCCGAAGGGACTGCACATGGCATTGACGCTATTGGAGCTCCTTCAGCCCAGGTTAGGTTGAGCTTTTTGGAGAGCTCATTGTTTTCTTGAACCATCCACAAACACGCCTCCATTAGTTTCCACCTATTCAGGACAGGAGTCAGAACTACATACAAAAGACAGTACAACGCCGTGTACAGGCAACTATCAATTTTGCAAGCGACCAACTGTACAATCAGAACCTCCCACCACCACCACTATCATCATGGCTCCTCTAGCATTTGAGCCTAGCAAGCTGGTTGACCTCGACCAAAAGAGCTTGTACAGTATGTTTACCATTCATGTTTCCGACCCTGATGGTTGCCAAGGGGTACCAAGAGTCGACGAGTATAATGACCCTTGATGTTTAGTGTCGGCTGCTGCGATTGCATTCAACCCTACTTTCTGGAAGTAAGTAGGCCATGTTCTTAACATCCTCGCTGCAGTGTTGTCGTCCGCAATAGGCCTCTCCATTTCTCGGCTCGTGTCATGACGAGCAAGGAGGCAGGATTGGCTGCGGTATATAAGATGGTCTCAGACTAACACTTGCCCAGTATTGTTGCCCGCCGCGAGTACAGAACCCACTTCCTTTCGCGCATCTTCAACAACAACCGCCAGGCTGCCTGCTACTTCCTTGCTGCGACCATCTTCTCCCTGGGCCTCTTCCGTGACTTCTTGTATGAGCGTGCCCTGCGCGCCCAGCCGTCGTACCCACTCCTCGAGACCGACGAGGTCAAGTATCTCGCCTACGCCCTGATCGCATCCGGCAACGTCCTGGTCATTACCTCGACGTGGGCACTCGGCATTACCGGCACGTTTCTCGGCGACTATTTTGGTATCCTGATGGACCACATGGTGACTGGGTTCCCGTTCAACGTCACGGATGCGCCCATGTACTGGGGCTCGACCTGCAGCTTCCTGGGCACCGCGCTGTTGTACGGCAAGCCGGCAGGTCTTCTGCTGACCGCTTGGGTCTGGGTGGTCTACAAGGTTGCGTTGGCCTACGAGAATCCCTTCACGTCCGAGATCTATGCCAAGAGAGACCGCGAGAGAAAGGAGGGCAAGAAAGCCCAGTAGAAAGAAGCATGCTGTGTTCATTTTCGGGTGCAGCAGACCCGGTGAGGGCTTGGCAGCTCAGCGACGATTAGACAAGAGACGATGATTATTATGATTGACAGCTTCCAGTGACTTTTTGCTTATATGCGAAATGTACATGTGGCCGTGGATCTTGTAAGTGTCATTCTTGCTCGTGTCACAATTGGCAGCCAAGCAGACTCGGGAATAAAACATATACGGAGATGAGTGAGGCGGTGTACTCAACGACATCTATTCATGATTCAATCCCATTTGGCGAGGCGTTCTGCGGTGTTGGCATTTACAACTTTATCAATCTTGGGGGAAAACGCATGGCCAAGGGATTTGGCCCGAGTACTATTTCTCTTGGACAGGTCGCTCATCACTGTTTTTCATCTAGTGGTGTGTACTGTTCTGTATTCTTTGGAACTGGTAGTTTTGGTGATGATGGAAAATAAAAACGAGAAGGGAAAAAAATCGGGGTATATAGAAAAAACAATAATAAAAGTTCAACACTTGACTATGCTGTGTGTCCTTGGCTTTCGAGGTAGTTTCGGGCCTTATTTTGAGGATGGATCTGCGCCAGACATTACGATGGCCCCGCGCGAACAATTGCCCACCTATGTACCTCGCCTACATTGCCTACTAGGTCATATACATCTGAGATGATGATGAGGAGAACAAGTGAAACGACCCAATGTCAAGTCAACCAGGCCCGTGTTTTTATTGGCAAGGTATGGAGGTTTTGTATTTTGCTTTCTGTGCAGAGCATATAGCGAGTCAAGCCGTGTTTGAGGCAAATCATCTCTTGAAAAGGGCCACGGGAATGGAATTATAAACAAGGGAACGAAATTGCAATTGGTTTTCTTCTTTTGCCAATGACCACGAAAGAAGATTGATATAATTGGCTGCAGTGCTTTTTCTTGTTAGTAGTAGTTCCAGAACGGCAACACGGAATGGTTTTGATTTTCCCTCGGCACAACCCAACCCGGGTCTTTTGAACCATTGAATTGATAGGAACGAGGAACATGCCGCCGTTTTGATGCCGTCATACTCCGGGAGAAACCGCCATGTTCCGAGAGGCCAGCCGCGGGTGGGGAGAGGGGAAGTTTCCAATGGTTTTTAGTGGCTAGCATTGTTCTTTGCTGGCCCCAACTTGCCCCAACTTGCTCAGCTACTATGGTATGCCCAGGTGGGTGCTACCAGACTCACTAGTGATTCTGTACTGTAATAGGAATATGAAGACCCTGGGCCAGTACATGATCAAACCACCTTGATGGCACTATTGATGGCGTATTCAGAGTGGCAGTGTCGAGATTTCTGGGCATCAAGTTTTTTATTTTATTTTTTCTTCTTGGACAAGGTAGGTACCCAGGTAGTAGTTGGGTAGGGCACATACTCTGCTGTGTAAAGAGGAAAGAAAGAGCAATAGCCGATGAAGTTGTTTGAATGACTGGCTTCCGGAAGCTGTGAATTCCACACGCTAGATAGATACTGGGCATTCCAGTTTCTCCTCTCGTAAAGTCCCGGTGTCCGATGATGACGAGTCTCGGCGAACTTCGATATAACTTTGTCCGAAAAGAAACCTTCTTTTCTTTGTATCATACAATCTACTACCTACCTACCTTGGATACTTTGCTCGTCTCTTTGTATACCAAAGGTTTCTATTTTGGTTTATGGTTTTCAACTTGCCCAGCTTGCACTGCTTTAAATAATCAAAAGTCTGTTGTTGGATTCGGATCAGTCATTGCCTATTGCTTGCCCTTGTCTGGCTGGCAACCCAACGGTTGTTCCCGAGGATCTGGCATTCCGGCATTGCTTTGGCTACATACTGTCAAGCTGCTGATCGCTAGTGGCCAACTACTACAATTGGAGAGAGAAAACCCACTCATGCCCGCTAGGAAGATCTGACTAGAGACATACAGAAATCTAGATTCGTCTCTTTCTTAGTTTGGGTTTGCTCCCAATTGTCTTTACTCCAGACTTCTCCTTCTTCTGACTGGTCACGAGACACACGTTGATATAGTCACCACTTGTCATTGATTATTCCTGTGCCAGTTCAATTGATCGCAAGCAGTAGAGTCTTGTTTTTCTACCTACCTTTCGACTTGCTCAGCCCCAGACAGAAACAGGACCCCTTTGTTCCAGCAAGGATAAACGCAAAAGCCAACGTCAGTCCAGAAAAAAAAAAGGAAGGAATCTAGAAGGAAGAAAGGCTCCATCCAGCAAAAAAAGAGAATCCACTCGAGACACGTGCCAACTTTCCAATCAAAGAAATTCAAAGAAGAAGCCTGTAGGCAAGGTCGAAGAAACGTCCAATCGCAACAGAGAAACGAATCATATCGTGCCACCATGAATCAGACGTCTCGAACTGATGAACCCTACGAGGGCGACGATGGACTCAACCAGAGTCCCAATGCTTTGTCCAACGACCTGACCACCAATCAGGATCTCAACGGCATCGCCAATTCCCGAACCAGACGGGGATCCTCCGATGAAGACGGATCCATGGACGACACTGGTCAGGGAATCATCCAAGTGGCGGCCCCCGTGCCAGACCGGGACCGCGCCCTCGATGCGCACCCAAAACTGGCCGCGGCAGCGCATGGTGATAATAGCGCTAGCGGTCAGTCGCCTGCGACCAAGCAGTCGTCCACCTCCGGGACGGCGGTCCAGGTGCCCCACGACGACCTCCGTCAAGGCGGTGCCGACACTACTTCTACTGATGTGTCGGCCTCCGCGAAGGATGGAGGAAGTCCTCTTCGCCGGCTCAAGCACGTCTTCCTCACCTTTGGAAAGTTTGTTGGGCCTGGCTTCATGGTGTCGGTGGCCTACAGTGAGTCACCTTAGTGTCTTGGTTGTGGGTGCCAAGACACATGGCATCCAGCTCACCGCATCTCATCAATGTGCTTGCTTGCTGACCTCATCACACAGTCGACCCTGGAAACTACTCGACTGATATAGCGGCTGGAGCTTCATATCAGTTTCGACTCTTGTTTGTTGTTCTCATGAGCAACCTGTTTGCCATCTTGCTGCAGAGCCTTTCAGTAAAGCTAGGAACCGTCACTGGATTGAACCTTGCCGAAGCGAACCGGGCCTATTTGCCTAGATGGCTGAACTATTTCCTGTACGGCATGGCAGAAATCGCCATTATTGCAACTGATATTGCCGAAGTAAGTAGTTTTCCACCAAGAAGGATGATATATATGCATTCCGCACGATACCATGCAACCCAATATTAACGGCAATCAGGTCATTGGAACGGCAATTGCTTTGAATCTGCTCATACCCCAGCTACCATTGGTCGCCGGATGCGCCATCTCCATCCTCGATGTCATGGTGCTACTCTTCTTCTACCGTCCTCAAGGATCCATGAAGGGTCTGCGCTCATTTGAGGTCTTTGTCATGCTTTTGGTTCTTGCAGTTGTGGTTTGCTTTTGCATTGAGCTATCACACATCGAAAACACCAGCGTCGGTCAAGTCATGAAAGGCTATCTCCCAAACAATGCCGTCATCCAGGGCGAGGGTCTGTATCAGGCTTGTGGTATCTTGGGCGCGACCGTGATGCCACACTCGCTATACCTAGGGTCTGGCCTTCCGCAGCGACGACTGATGGACTATGATACCCGCAACAATCTCATGCCCGCCAATGCTACGACTAGTCCCGAGAGCCTTAGCGACAGCAAGGATTACGACAAGGTCTTTTACGTTCCCTCTATGCGCGCCATCAAGCACTGTCTCAACTACTCGTACGCCGAGCTTGCTATTTCATTGTTCACGTTTGCATTGTTTGTCAACAGTGCCATTCTGATCGTTGCTGGTGCGAGCCTGTACGGGAACACCGAGGCCCTCGATGCGGACATCTTTGGCATCCACACCCTCTTGACTTCCAGCCTTGGTACTGGCGCCGGGACGGTCTTTGCGTTGGCGCTTTTATTTTCGGGTGTCTCCGCGGGTATCGTGTGCACCATATCCGGTCAGATGGTTTGTGAGGGGGCGCTAAAGTGGAAGATGAAGCCATGGCTCCGCCGCTTGATTACCCGCAGTATCAGCATCACGCCATCCATCATCATAGCCGGTGCTGCTGGCCGCGAGAAGCTCAGTGCTGCGCTCAATGGAAGCCAGGTTGCACTCTCTATTGTGCTGCCCTTTGTCTCCGCGCCCCTCATATGGTACACGTGCTTCAACAAGTACATGACTGTGCAGCCGGGTATGGCGAGATTCTACAAAGAAGGCAGCAATGACGACGAGTTTCGCGGCTCGAGCAGACACATGGATTCTCGGGATGAGGAGGAAGGAGTCGATGGCGTGTCCGGACTGGGAGAGTTGGTCAAGATGGGTAATGACTGGTGGGTCTGCATCCTGTCGGTTCTCATTTGGCTGGTCATTACCATCATGAACGTGGCAAATCTGGTCCTCCTTGGCGTGGAGAACTGATCAATATGAGCAGAAATTGAGAGCTGCGTCAAAAAGGTCGATCATATTGACCTAGACTGTTCGCCAGGCATTCTGGGCAGTTCTCGCTTCCTTAAGTTGCCGCAGTACCAAAGGTAGACAAGCCGCAAGCCGTCAAATTGACGCAGATTCTCAGGAGATGGGGCAAGGGTGCCAGTCAAGGCAGGAGAGGTGAGCTCCTGATCAGCCGGCATCGAAGATTGGAGGGAGTGAGCCTAGGCTGGGGTGATGGGCGTTGCCGCACGTTTGTGGCTTGAGGTGGTGATTACATGGTCAGACGTATCGCGTGCCATATCTATGGTTGTATGTACACGGAATGACAACGTTTTTACTGTACCTTTCTTCTATTTTGCGAATGGCTGACGCCTCGGGAGGCGGCTTGCGGCTCCAGCTTCTGCAGCGAGGCTCCTGTCCCGTGGTGAGACTCGTCCCCTGTGAATCGAACTCACTATAAGAGCTTAATGGTGGGTGCGCGAGGTCTGCAACCGGCAACAAGGTTCGGATCAGCCGCTTCTGATAGGCCAATTGGATTTCTGAGTTTTTGGTGCCTGAAAAGATTCTTCAGTCGGGACAAAAAAGCAACGAGGAAAAAAACACTTCCCACAGGGGCAACATGGAACCATGGCTTCTGCTTGTGCCTGACTAGAAGCAGCACGACTAGGGCTCTACATCAAGCACTGCATCTGTACGCATCGTGCAGCATGACGTCCCCATATGTGCTTCTGACAGTTTGCACGTTACACATGCAGTACGTCCAATTTTACTATCACAATCTTGATCTCTTCATTCTCCTCCTCATCCCATGCAATGTATAATCTCTCAGCGAGCTCAAGCACAAGATCCAGGCCAGTTCAATTCCATTATTGAATATGACGGCTCGACTACTCCGTCCATCGGCTTGACATTAACATGCAACTCTTTGTTTTCTTTCTGCGCAGTGCCCGGGGCGGAAAAGCTGGGCGAGGGAATAGGAGAAGATGATGTTTCAAACCGTATTCGCCGGCATTCTTGTCTTTTAAGATTTTGAACATCAGACCCTTGCTAACCTAACCCGTGGCAGCCGCTTCTCTCCAAAGCCGCATACTCCCACTCGGGCACACAAGTCCCGACCCAATGGAGAGAAGGAAAGGCGAGGATTGATTAGCAGAGCGGCTTCTCTGGTACCTTGCATACGACCCCATCATGGATCTAGTGAGTGGTAATTTCCACAGACGAGTATTACGCCCATTGTCGTGCCGGCTGATAGAATGAAGTTTGAATTGCATTGTTGCCTTTTCACGTTAGGGACACGGATGAGTGCCTCTCCCGAGATATGGGAGGGAAAGGACCAGAACACACAGGCAGAAGAAGAAGAAGGAAAAGAACCATAATCGGAAAGAAAAAGGTTGGCCCGGAGCAAACGCCTCCTTGACCCCTTCGAAACTCACTGTATAAGAGCCATGAGGATCGGTCTCAAGCCTATCTCTCCTTTCTCCCCTCGTCTTCTTCTTCCTCTTTCCTCATCAGTCTTTACCTACACTCGTTTGTCATCCCGACCCCCCTCTCCCAACAGACAAGACTTTTTGGGATTTTTTTGTGCGAATTCCCTCGTTTGGCTAAATTCATTTTTGCCTACGACCACACACTCTCTTTCAAGCAGCCCGAAAAAAAGAAATAGGAAAAACACAAGAAAACCAATAATCCCCCTCCTCGTCTCTCTTGTCGACTGTTTCAATCAAAAACACACAACAACAACAACACACATACACACTCAGCACATTTTTCGCTTAATAATAATTCTCAAATCTCAAGTCTGCCATCATGAAGCTCACTGTAGGCATCGTCACCATGCTGGCCCCTTCGCTGGTCCTGGGCACCCTGCGCGCCCGCGGCATCAGGAAGAAGAGGTGCCAGTCCGTCTCTCACTACGGTAGCGGTGGCGGGGAGACTGGATCGTACGGTACCGGTTCCTACGGCGGCGGCGGTGGTGGTGGCGGCGGCGACAGCGGCAGCGGTGGCCACGGTGGTGGTGGAGGCGGCGGTGGCTACGGCGGCGATGAAGGAGGCAAGGGCTCTGGTGGCTACGGTGGAGGTGAGGAAGAGGGTGGTAGCAGCCCCAGCTATGGCGGTGATGAAGGCGGCCACGGGGGCCAGGGCGGCTATGGTGGTGGCAAGGAAGGAGGCTCTGGATACGGCGGTGGTGATAGTGGCGAGGGAGGCTACGGAGGCGGC